CTGATGCTCGTTCGAATCGTGTCTACAAAATATTAAAACCCTAGCCTTTTAACTATGTTGGGAAAAGATTTTTAGTGATTTTTACTATAACTTCTGCAATACAGTATTTAGAGCTGTTCGCCAATGACGTTCAAAGCATCCAAAAAATACATGATATCGAAAATTTTGGGTTTTTGAGGACTCCCGGAGCCCAACTTCCCCCAAAAACTGCAACCGAATTTTAAATCCGTGGCGGGCTTTGTGTTGGCCCGGGTCCCCATCCTGGATCGCGTGTGTCAAAACAACAAAACATTCATCACCTATGCCTCAGTACTCATTTCAGGCGTAGAATCCGGGAGAGCTTAGTTTTTGAATAATTTCAAAGTAGTGTCAAGGTCACTTGAGGTTACTCAGAGGTCATTACTGCGTATGTAAAGATATACTTCACAAATTCTGCTTTTCCTGATGCTGTTATAAGAGTATTGCAGTCATTTTAATGTTAAGGTAACCCGGCATAGTCTTAGTCGCCATCAATGCATCTATAAATACATGCTTGCCTAAATTTGGCAACGATTTGACGTTTCGGTGATTTTTCAAATGGTTTTGGGTAATTGTAAAGATTCTTAAGGTCCCTTTACGCACCTTCTGTTATCCTTAACGGGATCGAGAGGGCCCACGTAGATCAGCCAAAAACCGGTGACGCGGGGGAAAGGGGGTCTCTGCGCTCTCTCCCCTGGGCGCCCTCTCTCGCCCTCTCTGACCTAGTTGGCTACCTGCCAATTATATCCCTTGCCATCTACGTGGGCCCTTCTTATCCCTATAATGTGTTTCAAAACGATGAGTCTCGTAATTTCGCAAAGCGTTCGTTTTCTGTTGATATTTCAAGGCAGCCTGCCCCGTTCGCATTTCTCAAACTAGAATTTCAACGAGCGACATACACGCCCGGGGCTTTTACAATTTGGCGGATCATTTCCCCGGGGTCTCTGCCCCCAAGCCGAACACATTGACCCCCCGGCTCTTAGTCAGTGGAAGAGCGGATGAGGGGGTATATTCGACGCTTTGTGCTCTCGACCCTTTTGCCAAGAGGTTGCTGGCCATTCCCTCAAATGTGTAAGGGGGCACCTGTGGTCGTGTGGCCACTGACTGCCCTAAGAGGAGATCTCCTGGGTGGCCACACCGGACGGATCCACCTAGAACGGCTCATCTACGCGCATCACGCACACCCTTCCCTTTATCGGGCCGTTTTTTTAGATTTGAGAGGGCTTGTCAACGATATCCGTTTAATTAAATTATCTAGAAATAGAAATAGAATTATCTTTTGCTGAAAACCTCGCTAAAATCAACGTTCTGCACCTTGGGAAGCCTAGAGCGATCCCATTACGGTAGCAAATTCCTGTATTTTGTTGTAAAATCGCTTTCTGTCTTCCTAGTCCCTTTAAACGGCATATTCAACCCTTATCGTTTTCATTGTTTGCAAAGCATCTAGAAAGCGGCGCCAATCCATTTACGGTATTAAATCTCTTATAGCTTTTCTGCGAAACAGATTCAAATTTTGCTAGCATCTCTTGAAAACTCATTTCGCCTCCGTTATTTGTTAGAAACTATAATTTGTTTGTAAAATTAACGACTTGCCTTCTTCTTCTCTTGCCCGTTTTCAGTCCGCTTTTCTGAGCACATCGCAGATTGTCTTAATAATTTAAGACAGTAGCTATTACGTAAGTTCCTAGGCTATAGAGACTCTATCCATTCGGCATTGTCTGCTGGCCACCATTTTTTTGCCCGAAGATTCGTCCGATCCCGCCTGGTGCAGTAAATTTACAAACCCCCGGTGGGGCCTCGGAGTGGCTGACCATAAAACGGGCCATCTGCCGGGATGAATGCCCTCAGGATATGGCTATTATGCCCTCACTTTAACCTCCTCATTGCCTGTGATTAATGGGCGTTGCGCCACTTGTCGAGCCCCGCCAAAAATATGTACATATTACGGCGTAGGCGGAGGGTGTTGCCGTGAAAAATTGCGGTAGGGTTCTCTAGATTTTTTCACTTCTTTATGGAAGGTCGAAGCACACCCCAAGCCTAAACCTAAGCCCAAGCGTAAGCCTAGATTTAATCCTAGGCCCATGCGATAGCCTCTCTAACAACGAAGCCTAACCGCAAGCCTAATCTAGGTCTAAGCCTAAGCCCAATCTTAAGCCTGGCCAAGCCTAACCCGCGCAAAAGCTTAAATCTAAGCCTCAACTGCGCTTAAGCCTAGCTTCCTCTGTCCCACGAAATTCCGTAACGCTCCCAAAAAACCAGCCCACCACCCGCAACGACCTTTGCGGGCACAAGCTAAACGACCGAAAGACCTTTGCGGCACAAGCTAAACGACCGAAAGACGATACGTCCGTGTTGTTCTGCTGGCTGGTTAGATCGCAGCGGCTTCACCCTCCGGGGGTTGCGTGACAATTTTTCCGCTCACCCGAGACGCTGCCCGGGGGCCTTTCAACTCGAAAAGTCGTTGCCAGCCCACCCCATTCTTGCATTGATATCCGTTTCCTGTTTTATGCCCCTTGGCCGGACGACTCGGTGCCGGGCTTTCCCGGCGACCCATAAGGCCCAAGCATTGGAAAGATTGAGCAGATCGGGTTCAATCAATCGAATTGATCAAAAGTTTTGTTTTGAAAGTTTTAATGTTTGCGGATTTCAAAGTAACTAGTAGGCACGTGAATCGGCAGCTAGCTCTAACTAGGTACGCTAGAACGAGGCACATCAGGATCCATTTATCAGCGTCGGAACCTAGAACTCGTGCTCATTTTTGCTTTTTCCCTTCCTCTCGTTCTCTCGCTCTTTTCTCCCCGCTCTCTCTCTCTCTCTCGCTCTCTCGCGCTTTCTCACTCTCTCACTCTCCCTCTACTCCAAAAACCTGGAGCCCGTTGGGCCCCCCGCCAAATTGAAAAATTTCACCGTCATTTCCGGCTCGCCTACTTCATACTTTCATAAACACATAGATCGGTGGCGGAACGCCGGATCGGAAGCACCGGGGATTAAGCCCAACCCCTCTATGGCATGGACCTCTTTCGAGGGATGTGCTAACCACCCTCCCCCTCCGGCCAATACCCCTAATCCCTTCCCCACCCCTCCCCTTACAAGATCCGCCAAATTGGTGCCCCGACTGGATTTGAGGTTTATGCTGGGGTGCTTTATGAATGCTAAGATTTTTATATGTGAGGTTGCTATATCCTAGGGCATGCTTTTAATAGATTTTTAATTTTGGCGGAGACCCTTGTCGCAGGCACCCTCAGTTTTGATCTCAATTCTTGATTCTACCGGGATGTAATTGTGCCCCGATTTATTGCTTAGGCCTAAGCTTAAGCCTAAGCTTAAGATAAGTCGAATCCCTAAGCCCAGGCCTGAGCCCTGAAAAAGTAGTACCCCGTAGCGTACGGCGCTTCGACTAAAGGAGAGAGACTGAAGACATCGAATCAGTGGGGGTTCGGGACCAAATTTGCATAATATGCTTTGGCGCGTCACCGCGCCGCACGCATATTGGGCCCAAGGTCCCCGGGCGATACTTGTGGCCCCGGGCCCCTCGACACCATCCACTGATTGCTTCTTCTTCTTCTTCTTCTTCTTGCTTCTTCTGCTCGCTGGACTCATCCTCGGCTTTCTGGAGTTGCAGCTGTGGAGCTCATGTTTTGGGACTTGCTATTTTGAATTCGTTGCTTGGTGTTTTCCATGTTAACATTGTAATTTCAAGTAAGCGAACCAGTTCCAGAACCGGTCATTATTGGCTAGTCAATTTAGATATTTTTGACGACGACGATATTGATCATGGATATTTTTTTGTTTCAGCTGGCCGAGGCCTAAACCTAAAGTCAGAATCCAAGCCTAAGCCAAGCCCCAACCCCCGCTTCGGCCACCCAACACCACGAGTGCACATTTTAGCAATTCTTCATCGAATACGATGCGTCGAGCATCCCTACCCATCCCCCTCCCCCCCCCCCCCCCAAGCGATTGTTGAATTCCCAAGTGACCGTTGCAAGCTTTTTTGAGGGATAGCCGCATCGCCGTTCTGACCCATTCGCATTTCCCCGCCAAGAACCCATTTGCTCCCCCCTCCCCCCGAAAAAAACTTTAGTAAAAGGGATGCGTAGGGTAGCCAAGGGGGTGGTGACTTCTGCTGTGGGCTCTTTGTCTGCCCACGGCGGCGACGCCCGGAAACCCGGAGACCAAATCGAATTTTGGTGCTAATTGTGCGTGTGAGAGTGTGAGCGTGTATATGTGGTGCACGGCGCAACAACCGGCCCGGTAGTCGCTGATTTATTTGCAGCGTAGTTTTTGGCGGGTTTCCAGGTGTAACGCTTTGACTTAAAAAATTCCAAAAGTATCAATTTTTTACTTGAAATTACTTGAAGCAAGTTGGTCGGCAGCGCAATTTTTCGGGGGACGCTCTTTCAAAAGCATCTTCTGTTTTCTAGGGAAAAAGGCAAAAATCCTCTGTATGACGTCTGCTTCACCTGCCTCAACCAATTGACCACTAAGCTTCACATCGTATACCCCGGTTCTGGTTCGGAATGTCAAAATACACCCGGTCATCGCTACCTATCCATCCACTAGAGGGGGATCAAAGGCTGTTTATGAATGCTGTGCCAACAATGGAAGCCGCTCTAGCCGGTAGACAGATGTTCGCTCAGGGCGAGTCCAGCACTCATCCATCCCGCTCGGACCAGCCGAATTTGGTAGCGGTCGTTTTCCAAAATTTCCTTGCAAATACCAATTTGCGCCGTTGCGCCCCCATAGAATTAGGCGATGAAATCATGATCTGTATGCCTTGATTCAACCCAAATCGGCAACCAACAAGTTCATTTCCCTCCCCCATAAAATGCCCTTGCCCCGCCGATATGATTCAATTTTTGCTCCCTCGACGCCATTTTCGGCTGCTCGACTTCATTCTTGGTTTTGCACCTTTTTCACGCCTACTCTCGATTTTATGACTTTTTTTTGGCTCTCGATGATTATTATCGTCTTTTCAGGATGCGATGAAGGCACCTATATTATTAGCGCTTCTATTTTGTTGTGCGGCAACGGCCGATCTGCGAGAGCAACCCACAAATCAAACAGTATTCATAGGCAAAGAAGCTTTACTAAAATGTTCCGTCAAATTACCCGCCGACGGAACAGAGCTGTAAGTTGGGGGTAGTAGTCCTGATTTTGAGACTTTTTAGGTATAGTCAATGGCGGACGAATAATGGTGATCTGTTGGGTTATCATGATTCGGGGACTTTGAGTGGACATGGAGGGAGATACAGCTATGTCAAGGTATGCAAAATTACGGCAAAGTTGCATTCCTTAATGAATCAGGATACTCCGGGCGAGCTGAGCCTGCGCATCGAAAACGTCGGCCTTGAGGATGATGGGCAATTTGAATGCCAGATCCTCGGCGCTGAGACGGGCCCGATTAGGGCAGCAGCGAGTCTGGAAGTTTTAGGTATGGAAATGTTCCCAGTTCTAAATAATGCCACAATTACAGTGCCACCGGCCGAAGTGACACTAGCAAATTATCAAAGCGGCACCGAAGTCGAGATCAATGAAGACGCGGCCCTGAATATTACTTGTGTAGCTGCAAATTCCAAGCCAATTTCCGAGTTGAAATGGTAATTCTGGCTGAATGGCTGGGGTATAGTTGTGAAATTTGAGGTACATAAACGGACGGCAAATCGAGGACAACATCCAGCGCTGGGAGAAGTACCATTTGAACAAGACGGTGACCGCCTACGCGGCGCTACTCTGGAAGCCGCGGCGGACTGACCATAAGAAAATGTTGGCTTGCGAGGCTGTGCACGAAGAGACGTCGACCCAATCGAGGGTTAACGTTACGCTGAATGTGTTTTGTAGGTTTTATTAATGCCGTAGGTGACAGGTTTTTAGTTCAATGCGCGTAAAAAGGCTTCTTTTTATCCCAAGAGATTGCATTTCCATCTTAAGAATCCAGCAATCTTTTTTCATATTATTTCGCGCGCTATAGCAACACGTGCCCAGGATAATTTGTCGCCCATTCCCCTCAAATCCGCAGAATAAAAGCTCCCCCCCCCATACGATTTGTGATGATCCATCATCCGTCGACATGCCCTCCTTTCCCTCTATCTGGCCCACACACCTCAAAGGAGGCGACGGCGCCCAGGGTCCCGGCAGCCAGCCACACTTTGCATATCCTTTGGGGTGGGCGCCCCCTTTCGAGGGGCCACCGATTTGTCACTGTCGTACGATAGTAGCAATGCGGAGGGGGGGGGGCGTAAGGACGGGAATCTAGGGCCCTGTTGAATGCGACACTTCATATCTTGAATTTGAATGGGATGCAGCACGAGACGTTTCCAAAAAGCTGAAAAATTGTGACTAAATTTTTGGCAAGGCATTCAAATTACCAATTTTGGACATTTCAGCATTTTGTAAACCCGTAAAGCGAAGCAAAGCGAAATCCTAAGTCTCAGCCGAAGCGGAAGCCTAAGCCTCATATGAGGCGAAGACCGCTTATGGATGAGACTAACAATCTCTATCTTTTTCAGACCCCTCCGATAGACCCCGCGCCACCGTCCTCAGCGGCGAAAATCTCGTAAAATCTGGCGACAACGTGACGCTCCAATGTCTAGTCCACGGAGGCAACCCACCCCTAACGTCACCTGGTTCCTCGCCGGCAAAGCCATCGACACCTCCTTTCACTACAACTATGAGACGCAGGTGGGTGTGAGGGTTGAGGTTCAGGATCTGGATCAAAAGCCGGGGTGCGACGGCTTATGTCATGGGCCATTAGCTTCAAAAGCTGTCAAAAGGCATTTCCGCCAACTTGAGCCGGGGGCTGAGTCAAATCGGGTTATGAGGCGGCTAGCGAGATAATTAATCGCGGAGGGAGGGTGTGGCTTTGTCCACTGCCGCCCTGGGGGTTGGTAATCCTCAGAAATGGTACTCAAGGGCCGCAGATGGCAGATTGGTGCATCACCCGGCTGCCAGAAAGCTAGGGCTTCAGGGGAAGTAAGGCCAAAAAATTAAGACATAAGTCGTAAATATCGTAATTAAAATTTCAGGAAGCCACAAATACGTACTCGTTCATCGCCGAAGCATCCGACAACATGGCCGCGTACGAATGTCGCAGTCAAACGCGTGAACATATCGCCCCGCTCAAGGCCAGCGTACATGTCAAAGTGGCATGTGAGTACTGTGTTCCGTTACTTGTAACCTACGACACCTTACAGTCGCCCCACAAGCTGTCGACATTTTTGGGGAGAGTAATGTTCGACAAGGTGGTTCGACTACTATCCAGTGTCGATCCAGGTAACATTTTCTGATAAAATCGAGGTGTATTTCCGGTGTATGGAGCCTGAGCCTAAGCTTAAGCATAACCTAATCCCAAGCCTAAGACCAAGCCAAACCTTAACCTAATTATTTCCTCCACAACTTTGAATGAACTCATCTACACAAAATGCGCATCCCCCGCCCCAAACACTCAATTAATCGGCTAGCCACATAGGAGCTGCTTTTGCCAGCTGGCCTCTGTTGGGACGAGCGCCAGTCTGAGATGGAATAAACCGATTTGGGTGTGAAAGAGGCCCTCGAGCAGTAAATCAGGAAGCCGTGGAGGGGGACCAGGGAGGGGGCGCCAAGTGGCAGATGCGCTTATGGCTTGTCCCAACCAAGGAGGGGGCCAAGTCTCGACAATCCAATGGAACACGGCCACCGTCAATTAGTTGGATAAGGGGTGGGCTTGCAAAAAGTTGGATATATGAGGAACTAAGCGATTACTTTCAAAGCTCCCAGAAAGTTATAATTTCACATAAGGTATAAGTGAAGCGAATCAGCCTTGGGCTTAGGCATAGCCCTGAACAGCTTCATCTCGCTGCTTTTTCCAGAGTCTCCAACCCACCTGCTCGCCTCTCCTGGTTCGTCAACGGCCACCCAGTTCCCGGCGTCCTCCAGGCCGAGCACAAGCAGTCCCACGGCACCATCTCCATCTCCAACCTGACCGTCAACTCGCTGGAGGTAAGTGTCCTAATATCCGCTCCTTAGGCCTTTTCTTGTAGCATAAACGCATCGATCATAAGGTAGGTATCCCATCATATTTGGGCCCCCAAATACCTCTGTTGCCTACCGGCTAGCTTTTCACTGGGAATCCTAGCTTTTGGGATTTGATTTTGGGTTTTAGTCGATGTCGGCTTTTGCAAAAATGCGGAATCATTGCTGCTGAAACTCTGGAAAATATTTGGTTGCCGCATGCACGCGAAAAAATCGCTTTATGCAAAAAATAAGATAATTTTTAGATGGTTCACAGCAAATACAAGATTGCCATCGAATGTCAGGCGAGAAATGAGGAGGGCAGTGCCAATAAACAGCATCTCGTGAAAATTCTGGGTAAGTATTCATGTAAGTAAGTAACTTTCGGGATAGTGCCTCCGGAGATGCCGAGAATTCACGGATTTGACGATGTGATCCTGCTCGAGGGTGATACCGTTAACGCGACTTGTGAAGTACTGGGCGGTCATCCACTCGCCGATATTGCATGGTATCGCGGTCATGAAAAGGTAAGTTTTCAATACCTACTCTTATTTTCTGTCTGTCCGCTTGTCCAATGTCCCTTGACTAACCCACCCCATTTGAGCAGAAGCTCGTAAAGGCAAAGAAAAAGCCGCGCTGGACCCAGGTGAGCCGTTAGACCATTGAATTGTCCTGTCGCGTGTCGAGCGCCGAGTCCAGTCTTTTTCGACGATTTGTCCCTTTTTGTGTGGCGTTGCTCTTATGGTGTAATATGGATGATTTTTAGCTAATCGGTGCGAGGACATCTGTATCTGGGGATAAAGCAGTCTCGACGATGTCGCTAGTTCTCGATCGTAGTCTACATAAACAACGGATACGTTGCGAGGCTACAAACGCGGCGCTGGACGAGCCGTTGGTGGATTGGAAGCAGTTGAACGTTTACTGTAGGTTTTGATTGATATCTTTGACATTTCGATTTGGTTATTTCTGTTTAACGAGGGTGAACCAATTTTTCCAGGTAATTCCGTAGGGTCCTCTAAAGAAAAACATTATACAAAACATTCTATAGCCTTTTGTTGCTGTTCGATACAGAAAGCTCTTAAAAATTACAAAAAATATTCGAAAATCTTTGAGTTTTTGAAAAAAAAACCGGAAAAATTCTCGAAAGAGGTCAAAATCTTCAAATCCTCAAGTTTTTTAAATATGTTGTAGAACCTCCTAACAATCAAAAACGTCCAAAAACATTATAGCGACACATTATTTATTATACAATTTATAATATCTGAGTGACAGGTATAGGCGGAAAAATCAAAATTAGCATCAGCAGAAAGAACCCCCTGATTTCAGTCCCACCACGCCGACTCGCCATTCGCACACCAGAAGGCACTCGGCATCAAATTGTATCTGGGCGTGAAGCTCGGCTCCTATGTTCAGCACCAGCTTCGAACCCCCCGGCGGATATTTCGTGGCAAATACAACCGAATGGAGAGACGCAACCTCTTGTTTATACCGGAGAGACGGTCGTCAACGAGACGTAAGATTTCTATACCTTGATATAATCAGTTTTCTATTTTAGCCTCCGAGAACAAGGGCACACCATTGAAAACATTGTCTCTTTCATCCCAACCGAGCAGTACGATGGAACGATTATCCGTTGTATCGCCAGCCATCCCTTGTGGTCGGAGTCGAAGAACGTCACCTTCCCACTGAGCGTACAATGTAAGTCCACGTAACGTCGCGCTAGAAATTACCATACTTTCAGATCCCCCATTAATGCTTGTCGGGAATAGGATGTCGATCGTAGTCGCCGAGGGAGAATCCTTCAAAGAAAATCTTACGATCCGCGCCAATCCGCCGGTCTCGACCTGGAAGTGGAAGAAGGATGGTCACGTTTTTGAACATACCATTGGAGGTAAGGGGATAGTTTTCTATCACTCAATAGTGTTTTTTAGGCATTATGGGCCGGGGTCCCTCACTATCTGGTCGAAACGTGCAATCAACCGATGCTGGCCACTATACACTTTTTGCAATGAATAGCGTTGGAACGACCAACGTTTCAATCCAATTGACGGTCGAGTACCCGGCAAAGGTAGCTATTAAATGAAAGATCCAAAGGTTTTTATTAGGTTGTCCAAATCACATCTCCGGTCATCGCATCGGCAGGTGAGGAGGTGCTGCTGGAGTGTGAAGTCGAGGGAGTGCCACCCACCAAGGATATGGTGATTTGGATAAAGAATGGTCGAGAGGTAATTAGTATCCGAGCGGAAATATGACAGCGGGAATTTAGGTGCCAAGCATGAAACGAGGAGAGATGAAAGCTGTTCTTCGGGTGAATGCTTCGCTCGACACTGCTGGGCAGTACATGTGTCAGGGTTACAATGGAATTGGAGCACCAGCAAGAGTAAGTTATCAACATCTCCTGCTCCTGTGAGCTGAAACAAAGTTACCTAGCTAACTCCTTCAATTTTCAGGCCCCGGCTTACCTCCTCGTCAACCAGCGGCCCACCATCATCCGCTCGTCAGCTTTTTCACGAGCAGCCGGCGCCCTTGGCGGCAAAGCTCGAGCCAGGTAGCGTAATTTTAACAATCATGCTAATGTCTTTATCTCAGATGTCGTGTCAACGCCGTGCCAGACGCCGAATTCTTCTGGGAGGTCAACGGCGAGACGATTCGCGCTAACAACTCGAAATATGCCGTTCACAACAGCCAACTAGACTACAGCACCTTTGAGGTTAGTATTGTAAATGCGCGTACGTTGAGCTATAAGCTTATGCTTAGGCATTGGCTTAGGCCTAGGCTTGGTTTTAGCCTAAGGCTTAGGCTTGGCTTAAGCTTAGATATCGTTATCAGCTAAAAATTCCTCGTTATTTCAGAGTTCTCTCTGGGTGACCATTGGCAGTCCCAGCGACTACGGTGACGTCAAATGCATCAGCATCAACAGACTCGGCGAGGACAGCCATGTAAGCACAAATATCTAATAGATAATTAAATTTTAGTTAATCAAAATCGGGCCTTTGACCGCGCCGGATGTCCCGGGCGAGCCGTTGCTGACCAACGCCACCTCCACAGCGCTCTCGATTTCATGGCCACCTGGTAAATTAAAAAACCACACACTGCAAAATTGACAACTGCAAAAACATATTTATCAAAAATTTGTATAATACTAACAAGGAGTGTCCTTTTGGTGTCATCGGCAAAACGATTCGAGACCCCGCTCATTCGATAGAAAATTGAATTCTGAACACGACTGTGTTGTTCATTTTTGCGGAATGGTTGTAGTAGGTTTATAAAATTAAAAAACTGCCGGCGACGCCCATACATTGGTGCTTGGGGAGCGAGTTGTTAAGGTTTCGCGCTTGGTTTTTTAATTCTATAAAATCAGGGACAACCATTCCGTAAAAATGAACAACACAGTCTTGTTCAGAATTCACTTTTCTATCAAATGTGCGGGGTCTCGAATCGTTTTGCCGATGACACCAAAAGGACACTCCTTGTAAGTTTATGTGCCATCGGTTTTTAGGCTTTGACGGCGGATCCGAACAACAGTTTGAAATTGCCTACAAAATGCAGGGGAATGGCGAAGCGACGGCTGTCAATACTTCCCATAATGTATGAAACTTGCTTTCCTTAAAATTATGCCCATTTCTTCAGCACGTTCGGGTGTCTGGCCTTCAACCCGGTCGTCTCTACTACTTCCAAGTCCGGGCGCACAACGTTCGTGGGTATTCTTCGGAATACACACGGCCCCCGGTGGCCTTCTCGACGTTGACGGCCGATGGTATCGCTGTTGGGACAAACAGAATAAGGGTAAGTTTTTAATGTGCATTCGCTCATCATTTTTTCTCCTTTAGGATGGTCATCTACCAAAGTCTTTGATCGTCTGCGCCGTGTGCTTCATCATCTTTTGCTTGATGTGCAACTTGTTCATCTGTATGTATAGGAAGAATAAGAGGAGGAAGAAGATGATTCAAGGTATCGAAAAAGATCAAGGCTAAAAATCAATGATTTTCAGAGAAAACGGAGATAATCCGGACTCATGGAGATCAAGCCGTGCGGCCGGTGCAGATGTACGGAGCGATAGGGCTTGAGGCTCCAAAGGAATATCAATTAGGTAAGGTTGGCTGCTAGCCTGCGCCTTCGATTCCCAAATAATAACTGCTAGCCTGCAAACAATTATTTAATTTATTGAAAATTATCTTTTAGGACCCGGAGAACGAGCTACCGCTGGATCTCGAGGAGAAACTCGGGATCATTCAGAAGATGATCAATCTATTCGGACAATGATAGTAAGTTTTGGGGGATAGAGAGAGAGAGAGAGAGAGAGAGAGGAGAGAGAGAAAGAGAGAGGAGAGAGAGAGAGAGAGAGAGAGAGAGAGAGGGAGGGAGGGAGAGGGAGAGGGAGATAGCGAAAACGAATCTCAAAATGGCTAAGAACTCTTTATTTAGGAAGTAAATCCAAATGGCTACATGCAACAAATCGACCCAGCCTTCTACGAGCGAAGTCACCTGATGGAATACGAATTTGACCGTAAGCTACATCTACATCTCAAAACTAGTCATTTCAGCCTACCAAACCACTCGAAACTTCCAAGCCAACTTTGGCAGCCTGCGCACCAAGGACACGTACAGTAATATACCGTATCCGGTAGGTCATATTTCAAGCAGTCAAAAAATATCCCCTCTTTTAAAGGTCTAACCGGCAGCCAGGTTAGCATGCGTGTCCCCTGGGAGATCCCCTGAATCTATTGGGCTTTAGGAGAGGGGGTTGAGACGAAAATTCGCATCGTTAGTTTCTCGTATCTCAACCCCCTCTCAGTTTGTCGAGTGCTAGAAATAAAGAATATCGAAAATATGCGAATTTTGCAATTCAGGAACCACCAATGCCAGCCGCCTACCACCACATGAGTCCGGTGGCTTCAAAAAGTGCCAAAACCTCCCCACAGCATCTATCGACGTTCATCCAGCCGGCCGGTGTACGGAGCGCGCCTATGCACTATTCACAATTGGATGGGGATCTGGTTTAAATTAAAGATTTGAGTTTTGGTATCAAAATGTCGAAATTTGAGCTGTCGAAATAGAATAATGTCGAAATTTTATCATAAAGTCATTTTTTAGGATGTAAAGTTGGATCGCAACACCGAAATCGCAATTTTTTTAAATCTCGACATTTCCAAATTTTTACATTATGAAATTTCGTCATTACGTGACAGCACGAATTTCGCCATTTTGAAACACTCAAATTTCCACATCCCTCCACCCTTTTTGGCTCATTCTCGACTGTGATATCGGTTGCTTTCTGTGTCTCTATGTCCCGTCTATGCCCTTATCCTCCTCTTCCATACCCACTGCCCCGTCCATAGGTGTCAACCGGAGGCCGTTATCGGGGGGCAATAAGGGTGGCCCTCCACAACTGTCTGTCCCAATCCCGGCCACAGTCACACAATACCGGATTTGCCATTTCGACACCCACCCCTTGCACCTACCACTGTCGAGTCGAGCAATTTTGGGGTACTCGAGTCGCGATATTGGTCCCGAATCCCCCACCAAATCATATACCTAGTTGGAGGGAAGGATATTGGTACATCGAGTCGAGCCCATCTTACTGCCAGATTGCCTACATTTTACTCGATTCTACAGAGGTAAGCTCATTTAAGTATTTAGTTTGAGGCGCAGATTGTTCAAAAAGGAAACTCTGGAAATCCACGATAAAAACGGGGTCGTAAGCCTAGATGTGGGCTTAGGTTTGGGCTTAGATTGACGCTTACGTTTGGCTTAGGTTCGGGCCTGGATTTCCGCATCTTCTTTTTCGGAACACTCAGCATGAACCTATTTCTATTTCTACCCCTCACCCCCCACGCCTCGATCTGTTTTTCACAACTACGGGACCCCTTTCCTCGTTTTTCTTCTTCAAGTTTTCCGGCTTCACGGCCGCCCCCCAAAAATAAAACATTTTGCCTTGATGGTGCTTTCATCCCCAATATTCTCCTCAATATTCTATGCCAAGTCAGTCATCCCAACACGTGTATCTCCGAAAGCATTTTAATTTCATTTTTGTTTGCAGAAGATAAAGTATGATACTTACATCCTAAAATGGCGACGAATATAAGCTTTTGAGAATCAAGCCCCGCCAAGAGTCACCCTACCCGGCTATACGACCCATATTAGCCGAGGTGGTGTGAGTAGTGGTCAGTGTCTCGGCGCGAAAATTCAGAATTCCTGCGGGCCGGCGGGGCTAATTGAGCCCCCCCAGGTGCGAGCCTCATTAGGACACCGGCTCTTTTTGGCCGGCCAAGGGTCCAAAATTGTCGGGTTGTTGTACGATTCTGTACTATTGCGGGTAGTCTAGGTGGACGTAGCTTTCAAGGAACACTTTTGCGAATCTTTAATTTTTCAGTTCAAATTCAAAACCTCCTAGGCTTAAGTTGGGCTTGAGTTTAGGCTTAAGCTTAGGTATCGGCTAGGTTTGGGCTTAGGAGTAAGCTTAGGCTTAGACTTAGGCTTACGCGCAGGCTTGGGATTAGGCTTAGGCATACGCTTACGATGAGGCTGGGCTTAGGCTTACGCTCAGGTTAAACATAGGTTGATTCCTTGGCATACGATTTTTATAGAGGGCACCCAACATTTTATTAGTTTCTGAATTGGTTTAAAAAATTATAAATTAGAATTCGCGTTTGATCATAGCTTTTTCGGACACCAAAAATAACTTTTTATTATGTTTTCAAAATATTTAGCCCCATTACCTTTCAAAATTGACGACTCCCAGTCCCGAACCCGGCTGATGCCATTAACCGCCCCGTTGGCAAGCCCGAAATTTCCTTTTCAAACGCATTCGCGTGCAACGGGCCTTTTTGGGGGGTCGAAGGGGGCAGAGGTCCCCGTGCAACTGGTCGTTGAGTGACCACCACTACGAGTTTCCATAGCGATCTTTACGTCGAGCACCTTAGAAGAGGAGAGTGACCAATGCATTAGATGCACTAGCCCGATATTCTAGCCTTACTGCTTTTGAACGTTAAAATGGAAGTTGACAATTTTGTAGGTTTTCCTATATAGGTTTTATCCATTGACCGTAAGTACTCCCTAGCCGTTTTCGTTACATAGAAAAAAGTTTCTTTTCAGAGCCGAATGGAGCGCTAGGAACAAATTGAAGCAATGGGTATCGCGCCGAAATTTGGGCTCGTTGCCGTGCTGCTGTTGCTTAACATCTCGTTGCTGGATGCTAAGAGGCGGAGATGGAAACGACAAGCCTTACCTTCTACGCATGTTCAGGTAAACGTTGTTTAGCAAAGACTTTGCTGAGCGTGAACCTAAGCCCATGCTTAAACCTGAGCACAAATATACCCAAGTTTACAGGTCCATTCCTTAAATTCAAACGTCTCCGTAGCCGATGAAGTCCATGTAGTATCAGCCGAGTCTCGAATTGACCTGAAAGAAAGGTGAGACTCCAAATGTTACCAATTCTACCTCCCTCCAGCTTCCTAAATGCCTCAATATGGTCCTCAAACTCTGAGCTTTTGTTCAACAACTTCGACACCTACGTGAATTACACGGCATTTGATGTTGAGGACATTTTCAACATTCACGGGGCCACGATATCGAAGGAGGCGGATAAAACAGAGGTAAGGCACTGAATTGTATAACTTCAACCAGGTATTCAGTTTTCAATGGTGACCAACCGCTCAATAGATGGAAATAGTCGATTTAACGAGAGGCTTGAGGGCTCAATTTCGCTACGGGTAAACGACTCGAATATGGGGGTGCAGGCGCTAAACGGTAAGATGTTTTTGAGCACGATTTTAATATGTTGTTTCTAAAGGGACATGGGCCATAATCAATGGGGAAACCCTGGAACAAATGCTGCAAAAGAAGATATCCGTATATTCGGATTTCGATCCAAAAGACAACACGAGGAAGTTGTTGATAAAGGCAGTTTCAAATTCCTATGATGTCAAAGTTATATTAAGTGAAGCGGAGGTAAGCGGAAATTAAATCAACGCCAACCTTCTCAGGTCCAAATCGAATACGGCCCGTCGGTTCTACAGATTGATAAAAGCTATCGGCATATGAAGATTTTTACGGAGAAACGGAATATAACGCTCGACACGATCACCTCACCTTTTGAAGTGGCAATGACGGAGGAGTAGGAAACTTAGGACCAATCGCTTATGCCACGTATTTAGTGCGTTGTTAGTGACGTGTAAGGACGAACGTACCACCGCGCAGCTGTCACCGAATAATACCGATGTCGAGATCTCTGTGGGGCAGTACTCAATGTAAGGAATGCTGCCAGATTTCTCGAAAACGCGAAAAAACGGTTTCATGATTATTTTGCAGCCTGGAAGTGGATCGTGGCGATGGAGTGATGAGTCTGGGAGATAGTGCTGGCGGTATCACAGAACGCGTCAACATCACCTCCATGCAAATGAGGCTGGACCTGGAGGACGGTCTAGTGACGGCGAACAGCAATCGCAGTCATATTGATATGATGGGAAATTTGACAAAGGTTTGGTCCGATTTTCCTCCACTAAAATGTGTTGTTAGGTCAGTCTCACGGCGGCTATCCACAACTTGACTGTAAGCGGAGGTGTACCCCGAATGAAACTCGATACCGGGAACATAACCGTCCAGATACTGGCGGTCGAGGAGGTAGTTTGAAGATTCTAAAGCTAAATAAATTTTAGCGCGCTGTTCTCCCATCTATCGTCCCTCCCTTCGAGCCAAAGCACGACAACTATGATAGTTTGGGACCGGTTGCCGGAGAAGAGTCTCCAAGCGCCGTCACCTCTGGTCCTGAACCTCCTGAAGATGCCACCACCGAAAAATCAGAGCCTGCCGCCGCTCCAGAGACGACGGCACCACCAAAAGAAGAGGTTACAACTATTGCCGAAGAAGTCCCGACACCTCCTGAATTTTCGAATGGATTAGGTACGGGGGTCAATTTTTTAAATGGCAATTCAAAATTAGGCCAAGATCCATTCGGCGTGATCGTGCCTGCGACAACTACTGTAACCGTGAAAGAGCCTTCATCTGAAGAACCTGATTGGACTGACGTACCGCAGCCTCCGGAATTGGGTACGTCGTATTAATCCTTACACTAATACAACACTACCCTACACTACGTTACAACACTAGTCTACAACCCAACTTTTTTAGTCACGGAAGGTGATGGCCGAACTGGACCTGAAGATATAGCAATGCCAACCCTTGCCGGACTACCAGAAGATGGAGGTCAGTATATTCAAATATCATAGAATAAGTAATTCTGATGGTTGCATTAACTAAGCCTTCTGCACCGTAAAATCCACCGCCGTTTCGTTTAGTATACTTTAAACGTCCACTAGAGTAGCCCGTTCTGCTTCTTGTGTTTTGTCACTGTGGCGCCAGCCCGTAGCTGTAATTATTAACTGCATGTAGTGCCTAACCACTGTCATAGAAGTAGTTCGTTCGTCTTTTCCAGAGAAATTCCCACCCCCGCCCACGCTCCCAACCGGTGCAGAAGAAGCGGAAGGGGACGAACGAACGATCGGCGCTGAGAAGTTTCCACTCCCCAAGCCTTTTACTGTCGCGCAAACGCACCCCGATCTCAGTGACTTTCCCGAACCGAAGAACTTTACCGTTGTCGTGCAATAAATGTCTTAACCTTGCTTTGGTGGGCACTGAATCGTGGATCGTACAGTACTGCATGGGATATAAATGGTTTTTTTATAACCTAAATTCAAACCACAAAAAATGAAAAATTAGTGGATTTTAGGACCTAGAAAAAACGATAGTTTTAGGCATTGAAACGTCTTACCCAAGGCCCGATCTATTCACAACAGGTACTAAACAACAACCTAGCGTATGAAATTTTTTCAGGCTCCCCGGATGACTTTGTGATTGGACAATTTGGAACGACACAATTTCTGAATGGACAACGCAATACAACGGGTAGCGATTTTTGAAGAGCTTAGCCTCAAGTTTTCAGGCAACCCAGGTCTCTCCTTATTCGCCACCATCAGCAGTGTCGACTTCAACGAGACTCCAGCCAAAATCCCGGTAGCTCCGGGTAGTCTTCCATTCCCAACACCTCAAGCCTTGCACGGATCGAAGAAGCGCAGTCCTGGGTACGTCTAGCAAAGCTGAGAGTTTAAAACTTCTGAGTGCACCTTGCGCCAAAATCCAGTAAAAAAATAAGGAAAACATGTTTTGTTTTAGCGGTCGATAGCCAAGGATGAAACGCATCGACTCTTCCCCTTTAAAAACTAAGGCTAAGGTTTTTACTAAACAATTTTCCAGCCCTGTCAACGACGCGTTGGTGATGAGGCTGTACGTGCCGGACTCGGTGAACATCAGTGACCCGCTTTTTATGTCCGACATCGAGGCCAGCTTGGTGGGGGCTGTACGCGAGAGTGTGCAGGGCATTGAGCGCTTCAAGCGGAACACGGGAGGGGTAGATCCGATTGATGTTGATGTGGGTTAAGATCTCAGATCTGCTGGTATCAGTTCGTTCAGCTGAAAGGCTTTGGCCGCGATGGAGATGCTGTATCGCTGCAGTTTGTCGTGTTCTCCTATGATGCCGATGCCAGCTCGAATCATTCTGCCATAGCGGAAGCTATGAATTCATTAGGGAGAGCTCGACTCTCTCAAGATATGCATTATCCGGTAAACCTTGAAAACCTTTACATTAATGTATTTTCCATGCTTCAGGTCGTAGAGGTCGTTCACGTCAACTTGAACAGTACCCTTATGTGGTTCCTGCTAACCACCGCTCTTTTCGTGCTCACCCTTTTCTGCATATTATGTCTGGGATGGAAGTTTGGCATCCACAACAAGGTACCAAAATTTGCGCTCCATAAAAATTGGCAAATTCAGCTCAAAAAGCGCCTAACAAGAGTGACCATTGCCGAAAACCGGGATTGCCAGAAACAAACTCTTTGATCTTGTGTAAATAAATAGCTTTTATTACGAAAAAACCGTTCAGCATAGACCTGTCAATATTTTTCGGAAAGGATCAGCGCAAGAAGTGAAGTGGCAGCGGTGGACTTTGTCTTGTAGGGGTCGCCGTTTTCATGGAAAGCAGCTATCAAATTTCCGGATTTCTGGAAATGGCAACGTTTACTTTTTTGTCGTGGCTTACCTGATACTCAACAGCAACAGTCGAAATCAAATTCATCCTCAGTTGGCCGTATAGTTGGTGGGCATCGCTCTGGTTTCGGCATACAAAAATTTTTTTAACGTACCTGGTGAGGTCCGCTTTCGTGAATATGCTCGTAGGCTGTTTTTAGGAAGAAATAATTGGTAGCTATTTGGATCAAGTCCCCATCGGCTGAATCCCTGATACCTGCTCGGGAAAGCCATTTCTAATTTTAGCGGATATTTTTGAGTTTGCTTCACTTACACTGTCGGCTAGTTCCTTCAACAAATCATCAAATTCATCGTGACTGCTATTTGTGATGCCGAGTAGGATCGGGAGCACGGCTTTGGCGGTCTAAAATGTATCATTTTGAATTTTTAGTGTTTCCGGTTTACCTGGCAGTTGTAGTAATTGAACTTCTGTTGGCGTTCCTGGGTAGTTAACGCCTGGAATACAGAGGATGAAATTGAGCTGCAGATACATGCCTCAAAATCGCAATATCTATTGCCATTCTTAAATTCTTGAAGCTTTTCTGTTGCCACCAATTGTGCATTCTTCCAGTAACCAGATTCCTCTGTAGCTGCAAAATGCGCGGAAAGCTTACTCATCGATTTAGCTAGATAGTAAGCCCAGATTTGAGCGTCGACATGAAATCCCTAAAATTTTTATTAGAAAAAAATTAGCTCTGATAACCTTGTGCTTCTTGGTTGCCTCAAAAAGGGAAGACTTCGCCTGCAATGGCCAGGAATATCGTCCGGCTCCATTAGGGTCCAGTCGCTGTAGCAAGTTCTTTGCATGAGCTTCTAATCTTGGGTAATAGCGCTTGAAGAACGCCTTTTGGCTATGGATTGTCTAAAAATTCTATTTCCCAAAACTAGGATGAGAAACCTCATCAGTCAGTAGTTGATCCAGTGCGTAGAAAATTTGAGGACCGGTAAGAGCTTCCAAAACAATTTGATTATTCGAGACTTCGGAGATCATCGCTGATTGCTCGTTTATTAAATTCAGCCAGGGTTCAATCAACTAAATTAATATTCATAACTAAAAAAATATTCTACCGCCAAGGCTTGAGCCGGATCGTAGTGTCTCATCACTAGAATTCCATAGAAAATATCGTCAATCGAGGCACTGCTAGATTTTCTGGACGGCCACGGAATAACAGAGTTTAGAAACCCGAGGGTAAACTAAAAATATTATAAAAACAGTTTTGTATTACCTCGGTATTATAAGTCCCAGCCACTTTCAGCGATCCGTCAAAGTATCGATCCGACGCTAATAGATTGGAAACGGCTGCTCGCGAGAGTTCCACATAAAATTCCGGAAGTGTCTAAGTTTTCGGAAATCCCCCCTCCGGCTCCATCTCCCCTACTTTTCCCGAAAATTTAAATTTGTCCTCAAAGTTTTTCTTGAAGTCCGCAATTCGTGTATTCAACTCGAGATAAAATCCCTCTCCTGTATACGGCTTTTCCCTCGAAGTAGAGAAGGCAAATTCCCAGTAAATGTCGTCCGTGACATTGAAGGTAAAGACTTTTACCTAAATAGCACGACATAATCTTTTTACTTCCTAGATATCCACTTACCGGATTATGCGCGTTGTGTTTGGGACTAAATTCTGAAGCAAAGATGGCTCCAAGTGATGCAGGATTAGCATCATGGATCGTTGCTACAGTGAAGTTTCCCTAGAGTCATACATTATCAGTCTAAACCTAAGCCTAAGCCTAGCGTAAGCCTACTCCGAAGCCGAAGGCTAAGCATTTCTTACGTACCTCATCGCCCCAAAGGTCAGCTGATAGTGTAAAGTTTCCATATTGTTCCGAATTTCCGTTTAACAACTTTTCAGACGTAGCCCCAATCGTAGTTTTGCCATCATCCTAAATTAATTCTTTCAAATTTTCCGCTTTTAGACTTACCTTAAAGTATACAAATATCGCGTATCGTTGTCTGTCAACCACATCAGCATTTTTGAAATTTATCCTAGTCGTCCACGTCTAGAAAACTCAATATTTTTATGGATCCAACCCCTACTCGCTGGGTATTGACCCACTGGAATTCGACAGTCACATTTCCATTCGTTACTTTCTCCACTCCAAAAGTTCGCCCATCCGACATTGTCCAGGTGGCAGATCCGACGTCATTTACCGTCGTGAACACCTAAAAACGTTGATTGGAGTTTAATAATCATCGCATACCTTCTTTTCCACGTTATCATACCAACCGACACCAAATTTGTAAGAATCTGGCCTAGCCGTACGCAGCGAGAAGATGTCATCAGGCTCCAGAGGTCGCCAATTTTCCTAAATTTTTCTAATGCAACGATTTTCGATCTATCACTGACCTCGTACTTCTGCGCCAGGTTTGGCAACAATGTCCTTTCCGTTTTAGGGTTTAAATAATATTTTTGGTAGGCATACTGTAAGGAGGCAGCTATTAAGACTGTGATAACAGTCCCGGCAATCGAGTACGGCAGCGCGTTTGATGATTCTGGAAAAAGATTATGGTGGTTTTCGGATTTTTGCATCAATTACTCGTTGGCATCGACGGCTTCCCAACAGGAATTGGGGTCTGCACTGGTTTTGAAACATCAGGGTTTTTCTTTGGCTTCTGGGGATATTCGGCATTATTTAGAGGTTTCTGATTATGCTTTTCTTCCTTCTTTTTCGGCGTTGGTTGAGAATTTTCATTTTTGTTTTGAGGTTTTGGTGATTCTTCGGCCTTACTTGGCGAGGTGGCGACCGCTGGCTCATCTACAGGTGTTTCTGGGACATCTATGATTTTCTTGACTGGTTGGGGGGAGCCTAGAGGGGTGGAGGGTTGGCTCGAGTTTGCAGAGCCGGGCGATGACTCTTCGTTGTCATCCATTTGCTGAAATGTTATCTATACACAATGAAGAGGAAGACAGAGAGACAGTAAGAGAGAGAGAGAGAGAGAGAGAGAGAGAGAGAGAGAGAGAGAGAGAGATGGAATGGAACGGTGAGAGAGGGGGAAGCGAAAACGAGTGTGAGAAACAATCGTCAAAAATGAACATATTGTACGATAACAACCTCATAATTTGAGTAATAAAATGCAAGCAAGGGATAAGAGACTTCGAAAAGCTGGTGAGTAAGATCCTCGCCCCAGCGGTGCCCGTCTGGTGTAAACTGGTGACCACGGAGGGCCACGCGGCACTAGCGGGGTCAGCCCAGCTGGCCCTTGCTGGGCCTCGAAAGAAATGTGTGTGTGGCTGCTCGGATGCAGAGGTTCCGTTTGCAACAGTGTACACGTATTTATCGAGCTTGATAGGAGCACTAAACGTAAATCAAAGTTATTGGAGCGCGGGCCTGCTTGTCGTGGAAGTTCCGAGTGGCTCGGAGTGTAGCCTGAAAAATTTTTATTAACAACAGAATAAAAAATACTCTGCAACGAAGGGGACGGTGGCGGTTCCGGGTTGATACAACAGCATTTGGTCACAATTGAACGACATTGAGCCGAGTCCGTCAGTTGCGTTGAGGCTGTAAATTACGTTGTTGGTTTGCTAGCTATTTCGGTTTTAAATGTAGTTCTATATAACTTCCCAAACTTTTCTAACTGAAGCCAAAACGGACTTGAACCTACCATGTGCCCTGAGTTGTACAAACCGTGGCGGTCCCCTCGAGTTTTTGCAATAGTGTTAGTTTAGGCAGCACTGTTCCTTCATTCTAAAAACAGCTTTTTCGCGGGTAAGACTACTCACACAAAAGACTTCAACGGATAAATCTTTCTTCGGCAGATTAGGTTCGAGCCAGTCTGATGAGACAATGACCATAGGGGTGGAGCCCGGACTCACAAAGTCTAATAATCAACTTGTGTTCAAAATATCGATACCAAACCAACTTGATGCATCATTGGCTTCATACTGACTTGTCCCCAAATAATTAGCGGGGATTCGGAAAGTGAAGGTCAGTGCTTTCAGATCAGGCGTGTACAGATCCAGGGGGTAGTCGGTTGAGCTGGAAGTTTTAAAGAAGCTAAGCCCTTTATTGGAGACTTACTAAGGCACCAAGTCCTCCGGCTGAATTGAAGCGCCACGATAGGTTGGGATAGGTTGCCAATCAATTTGGATACGACTGAGCTCGCGGACGGCTACGTACAGACAGCCCTCGACCTTACATGGCAGATCTTCGTAGGCCCTGCCTCCGCAGAATTTGCCATCTGAAGGTTGTCAATGGATGTAGAGAGGAAGAGAGCGACAGTGAGAGAGAGAGAGAGACAGAGAGACAGAGATAGAGAGGGAGGGAGAGAGAGAGAGAGAGAAAAGTAGGTTTTGCTGGATACCTGGAGCCAGGAAGTGGTCACTGATGAACATTAAAGCCTGGGTGCCGAAGTCCCCAGGATTTTTGATGCGAACGGAGACCGTTAACTGCTTGAAGATCATTTGGTTACTAAAATTTCCCTCAATTTCACGAACATTTATTAGAACTTACGCTAGCTTCATCTTCGTACCCGTCTCAAACGTGCCATCATAGATCTCCACCGTCTGCTCATCCTCATATTGGTAGAGCGCTATCGCCAATGGTCTGAAATCGCCCAGTACGAAGTAGTACGGGGCGATACGTTACCCGTTGCAAGAGGTAAAGATGTATTCCTGTTCCACGGCCCTCGTTTGTGCCTGGTTGATCTCGTAAATTGACGTGTTGCAAATATCAATGTACAATGGGACGATCGGCACTAAATTAAATAACAATTTTTACCCTGAAGAGTGAATTTACCGGATTTTACTTCAAACTTAATGCCTCGTCGCCGTACGTCGGCAGGCTGATAGGTACCGGAGGCATAAGTGACAAATTGTACAGTGATGTTCGTCACGTTGGTGAAGCCATAAACGCCCCACCTAACTGTATATTTAATTCGTGCAAATGCTATACCTATCAATCGTGTCATATTTGCCGTCGGCGATTATTTGAGGCTTATCCTCTGCTGCCACATCGACATCGGTGAAGTTGACCGTGTTCGCGGAGCCCTTATCCACCAGGAACGTCCATGTGCAGGCTTGTTCTCTGAATTTGTTGTTATTAACAAAAAGCGGAGGAACCGGCAGTAGGTATTGTACTGAAAGTCGATGTTGTGTCGTGTAGGCATCGCGAATGGAAGCGGATCCGTCGTGCCATTTTGTAAATTGAAGACGGCGCCAGTGCATTCGCAATCTGTGAATTATAGTAAACTAGTGGTGGAATGAAAACAGTTTATTTGCTGGGGAGAGAGAGAAAGGGAGAAAGAGACAGCGAGAAAGAGAGATTAGCGCACCGGACAGACATATAAATTGGTACAAGCCTAATTTTACTTACCTGCAAGCCGCACATTCATAATACCACCTGAAGACGTGCCCAGCCCATCAGTCGTCAGCTTCAACGCCGCTTCACTAAGGCCGATCGGGGCAAAAAATATTTGATAGCCGCTCCTGCCAGTTAGGGAGACCCCGAGCTAAATGCCATATTTGGCCGTTTCCCGCAAAAACCTGGTAAGTCAAGTTGAAAGCCGGTGCAATAAAGTAATCCGAATCCTTCTCCAGGCTCATCCCCAGCACTTCAAGCATCATTTGATAGTTTTTGGTCACACTAACTTTATAGTCGCACTCGATATTGTTGTAGTAGGGCTAGAGCAAAAAAAATTGGGGACTACAGTTTTGCGAAAACCTTAATTGTTGGAGTTAGGTAGGAATATCCTGGGGTCCAGATTAACAGTTCACTATCGGTTGCTTCGTTGTCATACTGGTCACAGGCCATCTTTGCCGATACTAAAAACAACCAATTTCTAGCTGCAGCGATTTCGGATCAGATGCGTTAAACCACTAACTGTCGTAGGGCTCGACGGCGATGACGTAGAAACCGTATTGGGCCTGTGTTACATCAGTGGATATGCTGATTGTAAGTGTAACATTTTGCAGGAAGTATAATGATGGAATCCGATTTCCCAAATAGGATCTAAATCTTTCATAAATAGCAATAAGCCTCCGCAAACTCGGTATATGTGTGGTTGAATGAATTTCCGGCAGTGTCTTTTCCGAGCAAATTCAAATATCCGCTCAATCCTGGCACGAATGTGTAGATGCTGACACGGAGACCGGATTCTGCGGTTGCTGTCAGCGCACAATCCGTCACATTAACATTTGCCAAAGGATATGCTGTAAAGGACTCTTTTCTTAGAATATCCTACTCCACCTGGGGAAAGCAAGAAGAAAGGTGTCTTCATTTTGCCGACATCTTTCGTTGTGCCACAATCATAGTAGGAAGGCTCTGGAAAGGTTGTGACTTTGAGAAAGAGGACCAACTCTGTTCTATAACTTTAGCTCGGTAGCCCGCGCGGGCACGGATTCCGTTGGCATACTGTGCCGGGACGCCATATTGTAGTAGAAGGAATGCTGGTCCTTGTGTAGCATTAAAATAGACGGCGTTGCCAACTGCTTCGATCTGTCAAAGTTTTGAGCTTAAAGAAATAAGGACGGCATCTGTTGAACCCTTGGTAGCGAGCTTAAATTTTTCGGCAAATAGTCAACCGGGCAGAGAGCGCGCCCAAGGGAGAGGCGCAGAGCCATCTTCTTTCCCGCGCGTAATCGATTGACTTATGCCGACCTTCTCCCTTTAAGAGAGCTTGTGATACAATTTAACAATAGACATTGTGGTACTTTTCTGATATGCGGGGGACTGTGTGGGGATTTCTAGGTTAGTTTCTTTTTCCAAAACTTTTGTATTTTACATTATTTTGGGCTGAAGCTTCTTAGGATATTTTTGATGCGCTATCAAATGGCTTTGATGATACGAAAGATGTAAGATATCGCATATTGTCGTAAATTTAGAAGGCTTGTTTTATTTTACGTTATTTTCAGCTGGCATAAAAACGAACCGTCTATCTTTGGACGCCCTATTGAATGGCGTACAAAATCTCGAATGATTAGCGGAAATACAAAAGTAGCCCCTGGCAAAATCCCCCCGCATAATAGAGCAGTACCGGCATCGGTCAACTTACATCAATGCAGTTACACGCCCGGGGAGTTGTTAGACATCGATCGTAGGCGGCCTCGTCGCACAACCACAACCCATCGCCATCCTGGAGGTCGTAACGGTCAAACAAGAAAACGAGCCCGGTGCCCGTTTTTGATGTTAACTTCCAGTCCAAACTACCATTAACAAAATACAATGATTTTCCTCTCAATTTATACAAACCGAAACGGATCCACATATTCTAGCGTCTCGGCACCAAGACCATTTGGATTTCTGAGATATTTGATTTGATTAAAAACGAGTCAAACTCACGGAGCTGTTACGTTTCTTGATGTAGTTTGTAGCAATAAAGGATAACCGTGCGAATAAACAATAGCATTATCATCTACGACTATTTCCTGAATTTCCGGGTTCTTGTGTTTGCCGGAAACTTGACAAACCCGTAAATACGAATCGGCACAAAATACGGTGAATATTAAAGTAAAGAAGATTAAAAGATTAGAAGACATAATCCTCGTAGTTTTCTAAGCTGCAATAATCCGTTCAGCCGATTTTAGCGTGTTTCCAGTGGGTGCAGCTGCGATAAGCGGGACGCTGATTTCACATTGGGTTGTAAAAAGCGGGGGTGATTTAGTTTGAATAGTCATTGCCTAGCTAGGAAAAGCACAGACATTTTGGAACAAATTGTCAGCCGGGTTTTGCTAATTGATGTAGACTATTTCAGATTGTGCTTTTCAGACTGTGATGAGTACAAGGAGTGGTGAATCGGGGAAGATGAATCTCGATCTGAAAACCATCACTTTTCCTGGAAAGTGTATAAAAGCGGAACCATATGCTAAGGCTTCGGCTTAACTTAGGCTTAGGCATCGTCTAGGCTTATGCTCTGACTTGGACTTAGGTTTGGTTTTAGTTTTTTCGTGCTTGTGTTTGTGCTTTAGAAACCTTCAAAGTCTTTAGAATATTTTTTTAGACCTGGGCAGTAGGCACATCTTTCATTTCCCGCTATATTTTTCATTTCAGAAGTATTGTTCTTGTCCATCCATTCTTTCCCGGCCCGGCTAATCCTCCAGATCCAGCGTGGGTTGCACCCCCACCGGATTATCCGGGTCGGGTCAGATTAGAACCCGTGAATGAAAGAGATTCCCGTTATGAAAGGCTCAACTTTGAATGGGACGAGCTGACAAATATTGTTGAGGGTGAGAGGGTGGAATCCCTGGATGCATCTCGAAATTAAAAGATGATTGGTTTCAGTGTGACATTTCGTGTGTTTTACCAAAAGGGTGTATGACCAAAATAACACCAGAAACCCATGAAAAAGCCATTTTTACAGAATCCCCGAGGATGGGGGCTTGTGGTCGTTGCCCTAAAAACAGATTCAGTCTTGCTCGTCGGAAAGTAAGAGATGGTATTGTTATCGGCTACCGCTCGCAACACCTAAATTTAGCGGTGTTGTTAGGGTGACATTTTCGGTATCTCTCTCTCTCCCTCTCTCTCTCTCTCTTCCTGCACCCCCAACCATTTCACATGACAGGATTGTGCGTGTGTGTCAAGTCGAGAGAGAAAAGACAATGAATGAAGATGGGCTGGGGTGGGAGATCCCCCGATCGGCGCTTCTTTCCGCTCTCCGCTCTCTGTGTGTCTGTCTGTGTGTATAAATGTGTGGCGTGCACGTGGCGCCATCGGAGGGCAAAGTCTTCGCGCCACGTGCTCTCTATCGCGGGTGGAGGGGAGGGAAGGGAATGGGGAGAGGTGCTCTCTGCACTGACTACGTCATCTACCCCCTCGACATACAAGGCGATGGGGGGACATCCCCCGATATGCCCCCAGGGGTTGAATGGACGCGTCCTATTTCGTGTACGGTTGGTACAATACGAGGAATGGTGATATCAATACAGGTTCAAAAACGCCGTTTTCGCGGCCTTTGATCACTAACAGAAACAAAATTAACCTATTTTATGTTTTTTTACTCGCCTGATAGGGATATATAGATGCCAACATCATAAATTTACAACGCTGCTACATAGTGTGGTAAGTTTTTGAGACGCACGTTATGAAAAATGAACAAAAATTACCCGTATCAGCCGCAAATGGGAGCAAAATGTGCGCACTAATGATAGACCAGGGACGCTGCCGATCCGATCGATCCAAAAACTGCCCGAAATGGCAGAGGCTTTAAACTTTAAACGACGACTTTAAAACCAAAATTTTTGAAAAACTTACGGGATCCTCTAAAAATTTTTCCCGAATTTACCCATTTCCATTTCGTTCGATTAAATGTGAATTTCGCATTTAATCGAACTAATTTTTACATAATCCAAGTCCAAGAAAAACTATCTAAATCGTAATTATATTATCCTTATAAATATAAAAAATAGTGTCTGTGTGTGTGTGTGTGTGTGTGTGTATATTTGCGTGCACTTCCGTTTGGATGTTCCGCACCTACAGCCTCAGGGAAGCATTTTTTCGGTAAGGAAGAAACGTCATAGGGTAAAGAAGGGCCCGGAATCGACTGCACACATATAAAAGTTTTGAAAAATTGCTGTTTTCGATATTAAAATTAGGTTTTTGTAAAGTTTTCGGCCAACCTCTTTGTTAGGAAGCAATTAGCATACGCCGGAAGTGGAAATGGTTTATAAAAAGGAAGATAGGGCACGCTTTTCATTTTTGTTGAGCGGTTTTCGGCAAGAATTATGCAAAGTCAATAACTTCATCGATCCTAGACGGGGCCAGGGTTGAAAAGCCGCGAAGCGGTTTTTCAACCCTGGTTTTCACCTTAAAAAAGCCCTCTGCAAAATTCCTAGGTAAATATGTTATTCCCGCCAGCGAGCAAGCCGTACCCAACCCAAACACGGATCGTACCAGGCTTCACCCCGCCTGATTCTGTTGCTTGGCATTGTACGTACTGGTGCACCCGTTTGTCGATGTGTGGAAGAGTTCGTGCAAAGTACAGCTGTATCCTCGGGACACCCCAGAGGGCACGTGAAGGCGGAAATTCCCCGTGAAAAGTGCGAGCGATATTTACTGGGTGGAAGCGCCAGCCCGACTGGCCCTGGGTGCCACGGGTCGCCCGAATTATTTTTATCACGCGGGGAGAACGGGGTGCGCGTGTCGCGCGCACGGGATTTTTTAAGTTTGAAGAAAGAAACGAAGAGAAGCTGCTTTTTTCGACAAAGCGCGGGTGGAGAATTTGCACCTGGAAGGCAGGTGTGAGCTGTTTTTGCTAATTTTCAGGTATGCCGTGGGGGATTCCACCCCCACATTGTACTTGAGTTCTGAGTGGGTCGTGGGCAGGCCCGTACGAGGGGGGGGGACACCGGGGGCACGGTGCCCCCCCCCCCCGAAATCGGTCGAGGTCCGAAAAGTTCATGGGGGGGGTCGCCAAAATTTTTTTGGGTGGGTGCCCCCCCGAAATCTCGGCTCCCGTACGGGCCTGGTCGTGGGCCATGGAAAAACCTACCCGGCTGGATTAGGGAGAACTGGAAATGGTAAAAAGTCAATCCACGAAAGGGATTTTGACCCGGATTGAGTCGGTATTAACGAAAATCTGTAACAAGAACTCTAGGGAAAAGCCATAACTTGCAGGAATTGAATTTTTAAGATTAATTTCATTAACTTTTTTGCATTTTCATTCATTAGGAAAAAGACGTAATAGCAGAAACCTAAGCAAAATTCACGCACAACGAATAGATACGATTTTTTTACTGGACCGTATCCATATCATCTCACACTATTATAGCTACAGTAATTCAATATTTTCCAGACTCCGCGAATTGTTATGCTCATTCCCATTCCTGCCCCCGAAGCCTGCAGAATCGAAGTTTCGTTGTTTGGGGGGCTATCCCCGACGGGGGGTCTCCTCGGCCGGGCCTAGGGGGGTGTTTGGGTGCGAGAGAATTGTGTGTGTGTATGTCCGTCTGCACATGTGGCTCTCCCCGCTGGCCCGGTCGTCGAAGCGAGCGAGGGGGGCTGCTCCATCGGTGACCACCCCCGTCCCGGCACGTGGAGGGCATGTGCAGACCCGGGTGATTGTTGGGGGAAAGATCGGAGGGTGCGAGACATGCACACGGGCATCGGCTCCAGGTCCGCCCTCCACCACCCACCCCGGCCCGGGCCGACACACAAGCAGAGCAGTCTGTGTGCGTGTGTGTGTGTGGAGCAGCCCCTTCTTCTCAACGGCTCTCTGTCTCACTTGTTCGACTCGCTCCCCTTGTTGCACCACGAGTATTCCCCCGAAATTCTGAAGTAATTATGCTTGCTATCGACAGCCTGCTAACTGCCGCGCGGATTCTGGAAGCCGCCAATCAACATCAGACGATTGCTGCCAGCACCTCTCTTTTTCTGGGTGAGTTACAGTACCTTACATCAATTTAATAACTTTCTTACACTTTTTTCTTCCAATCTATCGTGCCTAAAACCTAAAACTCATACATAAGCCACCTGAAAAACCTTGAAACCCTTGTTTACCCACCACTTTTGCAGACACCCACATTCCTGATGAGCTCGAACTCCGCGACCTTGTCAACCAAAAGATGCGCGTCAAGCGCCCGATGTCCAACTCGTCGGCCACCTCCTCCGAGCCCTACACCATCTCGTGTAAAAACTCCAGCACCAAGCAAAGCCGCACCGCGCACAACGAGCTCGAGAAGAACCGCCGTGCGAACCTGAAGGACTGTTTGGACACGCTGAAGAGTCTGGTCCCCGACTCGCAGGACGCCGCCAAGAACACCACGTTGGCGTTGCTGACCCGGGCTCATGACCATATTGAGGTGAGGCCTTTTCCTGGAATTATTGACCGGAAATTGAAATATCATGGATCTATTTTACCCTTTCTTTTGCAGAAGCTCGACGACGAACTCGCCGAAGCCGATCATATCATTGCCCAGCTCGAGGCGAAGAAGCTCGCCTTGCTTTCAAAACTCTCGGGCGCACCTCAACCGGTCATTTCCTCAGAAGCCGTCATGCACCCTCAATACCGCCCGGAATCCACAATGTCGTTGCCTTGTTCTTCTCGTTCTTCTCCTCTTCTGGAGACCACCTTCTCGTCTGTAGCTCCTAGCCCGGCTCCCCAGATCCTGGACCCCGTCAAGGAGGGCCTGGTCTCCCCATTCCCACTTTGCTACCCCTCCTCATCACTGTATCCCCATTTCGATCTCTCCCAACATGCCTCTATCCTTCAGGAGCTTGGCTTGCCACTTCAGCACCTCATCGTCTAACCTTATTACGGTAGTATCTCTACCCTCAGGGCCTCCCCACTTTTCGAATGATTTCAGCACCTCGAGTACTGCTTACTTCCCTTTTGAGCCTCGTCTCCGGTTTTGTTGCCCCGATTCCGGAAAACATTCGAACATCTCTGGTCAATACGCGGTTTCCCCCAGACCCCCCACTCGTCTCGACGTTTTTAGTTCATTTACTATATACAAGTTGCCTCATCCATTCTCAGTATCGCCCCCGCCTCTCTGGTTCCACAAAAAGCGCTGGTTGCTAGTTATACTCTCAATCTACGGATTTGCCTTTTCCCCGCCCTAAAAAGCGCACTTTGTTAAGCGTCTCGGTATCTGTTTTGCGATTATTATTATTATTTTTGTTCGTGTGGCTGGCCAGACACTCAGCACTCAGCTAGAATAGCCAATTTGTTGTTGACCATCCACGCGTCACCAACTGGGTGTGGCAGGAAATAAAATATTTAATTTATATTCTTCTTGCAAATAGCCCTGGATACGAACAGTCATACACGCCGCCTTTTTTGCAAACGGCACCACAGTTTTTTGGCGGTGTTTCGACACGTGTGACTCATTGCAAGCCGGGGTATTTTGGAGGCCGTGCGGAAACACAAAAATGCAGTCGGGGCGCTTCGTTTTGCTCAATGAACGGGGTTGCACTCGTAAAATCAGTGGAGACATCATAGTACGGATGCCCGGGCAGGCCGCACAGTTCAAAATGTTTCGGATTGGGTGAATGTGCTAAACCAAAACCAAAACCACATGGAGACACTTTTTTTGAAAGCCAGGATTGAAATGGCGCAGTCGGTGCCAAAAATAGCGCATGTGAGACTCCCGTGGACAAATTGGTTTCATTTTTTTTATTCCCATGAAACGCCATTGCGTAATTGGTCTGGAAACTGATTTGTGGTACGTTAAAATGAGCCTAAAATGTTCTGTTCAAGTTCAGAGTCATTTAGCTGACCGAGAATTAAGACTATGATCGGCATTTAAGAGGATGTGCGAGAATGCGTGTTGTCTGCGGGCTCACAATAGCACGTCGTAGTCCCGTTTTCGGAAGGGCTACATGCCAACAGACGTGTTTACCTTCAGCAACTTTTAGCGCATGACTGTCTACTCAATAGCTAATTTGTTTGAATCGAAATTTTTGTGATTTTTGATGTTAATCCCATCCGAAATACCCGTCAAATTGCCATAATTTTGTAGGTATGCCAAACTTACTTCGGTAGCCTTTTAGCAAACTTTCTCAGCCCCGAAACTGCGACAAAAACGTGTCGAACAGTCGACACTCACGTGTTCCTACCAAACGACCAATTCCGTACTTTGGCCCGGCTGTGGCTGGGCGACACGAGAGAGTCTGCCAGGATAAGAGGGTGCGGGTGGTGAGCGTGTTCTCCGGGGAGTCCCCCCTTTTCTAGAGCCCCCTTCTCTCTATACACACATGTGCTCCACGTGGCTCGATCGGTCGCCGGCGAGCCGCGACACGAGAATAGGTGCACGAGGCCGTGTTTTCGGCATCGCCCACCGCCACTCCCTCCTCCTGCTCACCCATATAGCCACCACCACCACAGCGTCGCTTGCAGGGATCGAAAGTTTTCCGTGGTAGTGCTCACCCCCGCGCGCACCGCCCGGCCTCGTGAAATGATGAAAATCGGCGCGTGCGCGGTGAAGAGGAAATTGGAAAATAGCGCCTGTTTTTTAGGGGTTTGGCAGTGGTGGGGTGGAGGGAAAGGAAAACTGAGGTTCTGCCGTTTTTGCTAAATTTCAAGGAACCGGAAGTGGGATTTTTAGCGCCGAGAGTCGAAAAATGTCGCGGAGGGTTGGAGGAGGAAAAAAGGAAATCCTGCTGACGAAGTTGCTGCAGACACCAAAATTAACGAGAAAAATCGATGCTTCAGGTCAAATTCTATCCGATTTAATGTTGCGATACTTTTATGCTACTTTAATGCGAATGGCAAATCAACGTCGAGCTTTTTCTGACGTCAAGGTCTTCAGCTATTCAAAAACCCGAGCCGGAATTTAGCCCCGAGCGGTCATCTTTATTGGCTGTTGACACGGCACGTGACAACCACCAAGGGTGTTCCCCTTTTGATTCGATGGCCGGGGTTGTGAGAGATGGACAGAGAAGTCTCGTGAGTAGAGCGAGATGGATTGTCTTGTGACAGCCACAGATTGCGGTAGTCAGCTTGCTCGCCCAATGCGGAATGGACTGCGCATTTGATTCCGGGGCATCGAACAAACCGGAGATCGGCTCAGTTGCCTGGTGGTTTCCTTTTAAAGATAGGATCGTCACAGAAATTTGCTTTATAGTTGAAAAATACTAGGTATTTAAAAAGCACCGCTGAAGATGCCGACAATGATGAAGCCAAACTCCTGGCCCTTTCCCTTGGTTTTTGCAGGTCGGCAGGGTTGCTTTGAAGGGACGATTACTACAGGCGCAAAACCACAAAACTTACGAATTGAAAAGCTTTTCTCATAATTCCTACCTCCTGGCCTTTTCGTCACGAACCCCACGTAATTTAGCTTTTCAAAGCCCTCCATATCACCCTTTGCCCCCACTCAGCCACCTTCCAATTGGTGATGACACCGGGGGCAGGGAAATACCGGGCTGTCACGTGTCAACGGGTGAATCGGTCGCCTTGCAAAAGTTGTTTTTTGGGAGGGGTGCGTTGTGCCGAGGGCCGGCTGAAAACTATTCGCGGGCCGATAAGCCGACCGGCTTCAACGCGGCCGTACTCGTGGCGCTGGCGTTTTCGTCAGTCTTTTGGGGGGTCTTGGAGGAGTGCACTGGTTGGCCTTCCACAAGGCTTTGTTCGAAAAAGTAGGAAACATGATATCTTCAATCGACAATTTTCGTTTTGACGCTCTGTACTTAGGTAGGCATGTTGGCCGATGTAGCACAATACAAAATCGGACATCACTGCGGACCGCTAAAGGGGGGTCTTTTTTGGGACACCCTGTATATAAATTTCAACATCTATCTTCTTAAGCTAAAACAAGCTTTTTAAAAATCATTTCCTATCAACGCCGTAGCTTCAATGCGCAAAAATCCTCGCCAAGCCGCAGCCATACGCACCAACCACCAGAGCATCCATCAGAGGCGGACGTCGTTCCCGAGAACCCTCCACACCCCCCCCCCCCCCTTCAGCATGTGGCCCATTTTCGGCTGGGGCTGGGAGGAAGGACGGAGAACGCCATGGAAAAGTCGATTGGGCTGAAGGAGGGACCGGGGAAAGCCCCTCGCCGTCCATCCGGGCCGCCGACGGCTTTTTTTCGAAGCTGAGGGGGGTCAGCAAGGGTCCCTAACGGCAAAGACGGGCACTGGAAGTTGAGGGGGAACCCCCATTTTAACGCAGAGATCGGGTGGCTATCAATTTAGGCGGGTTCAGAGGAGTCACTTCGGGATCTGGCAGGCGGCTTGGTGATACTAGAAAAGTCCGAAAGAACAAAAGTCTAACAAGCAGAAGGTAATTAACTATTTGCCGCGCTAACAAGAAGACGTTCTTGGGTGTCCAGTGCGTTTAGATTTGGAACTTATACCAAATTGTGCGCTAAGTAAAGCATGCGTTTCAGAAGGGAAAAACCCCCAGATTGGCAAATTATGAGGCTTGAAAATGTACGCCCTGCTTGTAAGTAGAACCATTAGTTACCGCACTCAAAACCGCTCGCTGTTCACCTACTCCCACCCCCTCAATTTCAACAAGTCGAGAGGCCAAACGCCAGTCATCCCTTACCAAATACTCATCCACCACTTTCCTGCAAATCCACCAAACACCCAGCCATTCTTTTGGGTGTAGGGTGGAAAAGCTGGGGCCGTGCTGACTGTGCAGCATTCCCTTCCCTACCCCCACGTGTATGTGCCCGAGTGTTTGCCGGACCGGGCCGACGCAACGAGGCCGAGCCCTGACCCCCCGGGTCCCCCCGGGCCTGAATCACCCCATTTCGACACACACAGCTTCTCGTCCCTCGACCCTCGGGGGAGGACACTCGAAAAACTTGCTGCAGCCCCGGCACGGCCTAGGCAAAAACATCAACTGGCGGGGGGAGGGGGCTGATACGAAAGCGTTATTTTTTGTTTTCGGTTTTGGGGTAAGCTGGCACGGCACATCAGAAAGTTGAGCCAAGAAGGTTCTAGTTAGGCTATCGGAGGCAAAACAAGGCGTCCGGGCTTATGCAAAAACCCGAAATCTCAAAGCTCCACCTCGTCCGAACTGAAAAACACGAAAAATGCATAGAAAAGTTGTAGAAAGCAAAAGCATCGTCGAAAACCACGTCATCGGTAAAAAACCTTCGCGGAGCTTAAATGTCAAAACCGCAGTAGTTAAAATTATCGTGTAAAATGACATTAGTGATGGTAGACACAAATTTCTAACTGTTTAAATGCCGCTTTTACGTACCAGAGAAGGGAAAATACAACAAAAACTTCCCGTATAGGTTTGTATTGTGAAGAGCCACCTTTGCTGCAGCCAGCCGTCACCATTGATGCGTGAAGCGATCTCTTTTTGACTTTATGAGGCAACAGCTGACCGACCCACATTCCCATCTGCTCATTTTTTTGGAGAAAAGTTAGCTTAACGTCTATCAAAAGGGCCATGAGGCTGAATGTCGAGGAACGTCTATTTCCTTGTCTGCACTTCACTCGTATATTCCATGAAGAATTTTTCGTACCGTTGCTTCCGTGAAAAAACCCAGTCTCCGTTGTGACGGATCCATTTTTACCCGGTTGAATGCGTCAATGTAGAGAACTCGTGTGTTAGTGCAGCACTCATCTCCGCTCCTCCTCGTCCCCACCTGAAATACATCCGCCTCTCAACCGTAACCTGCGTGTGTTAACCATCTTTTAGGCATCGATCAGTATGATCTGACGTTTTGGGTGTCTTTGTGTAAGCTCCTTAATTATAGCTTGTTAGCTTGTGGTTCAACGTTGTGACTCCCCCTATTCCTATGCTTAGAATTAGGGGTAGGCTTCTGCTTATGCTTAAGTTAGGTGTAGGCTTAGGTCGAAGCTTATTAGGCTCATTCGTATGCTAAAACCCATGTCTATGCTTAGGCTTCGGCTTACAATTAGACTTAGCCTTAGGCATGCTTAGGCTGATTGGTACTTGCCCTTGTTTCCCAGTTTTTATAATATTGGGTTCCTTATTTTTTAACTCTTCAATCGAAAAAGCCGAATACGTTCTCCTCGGTCAGACACTGTGAATCATCCCCAGCTGGGCCTCCGATCGGACAGCACGAGAAATGGGATGGTATGGGAGGCTTCGTCTGTCTCCTATCCTCCCATAACATCCGCAGACCCTTGGACCCTCATTCAGTCTATTCCTTCGTTTGTTGATAATCGATCGTTCATCCTCCTGGCAATTTCAAGCTTCCAAATCTTGTTCAAAATTCGCTTTTAAGATGCAACTCCAAATGGATTTAGACGAACTGCTCAATAAGCCGCATGTAAGATGCCGGTGAGTCCTGGGTTCAAAAAGATGAAAACAAATGATCTAGGAACCGCGAAGCTTTGGAAAAGAAATTGTTAGATGTAATGGCGGACGGACCAGATGACCTCATGGTATCAATAGCTTTAATATTCTAGGTATTGTATCTAGGTAATTTCCGACTTCGATTACACCCTGTCCCGAGCATATGATGATGAGGGAAAATGCTGGTCAACGCTGGGTGTCTTTGATATCCTTGCCGACCAGGTGAAGCCGGGTCTTGGCAAGGAGGTTGGCCAACTCCCAAACCGCTGAATTCATCAAATCAGATCATCGGTCTCTGGGAACGCTACCATCCGATTGAGTACGATCCGCACATGACGTTGGCTGAGAAAGTGCCACATATGGAGGATTGGTATCTAAAGAGTACCTTGGACCTTATTGAAGTTGAACATTAAAGGTGGAACAAGATGCACGATCTGATCTGCAGTGGGCCATTTACAAGGAGTGTCATTGAGGATTTTGTACTTCAATCGCGGGTCAAACTGCGGTAAATTTTAGCACCATATAGAATTCTCTAAATCCAGGGACGGAGCTGAAGAGTGGCTTCTTTATCTAGAAGAATGTGGAATTCCACTTGTCGTCTTTTCGGCAGGATCTGGTGACGTCATTGAGGTTCATCTGAAGAATCAGTTGGCAAAGGTAGAGAGAGAGAGATAGAAGAGATAGAGAGAGATAAAGGAGATAGAGAGAGAGAGAGAGAGAGAGAGAGAGAGAGAGAGAGAGGGTGAAAGCGAAAGAAAAAGAGAACATGAACGAGCAAATTTGGACTGAACTTTTCAGATTCCGGACAACGTCCATATCATCTCTAACCTCATTGAATATGACGTTGAGGGCCGCCTACAACGATTTTCTGACCCGATCATCCACGTTTTCAACAAAAACGCTACCGTAATCCAGAAGGTACTGTAACTCACCTCTAAATCAAACTTTCCCAGAATGGCCCTTTCTGGGATGCGCACTCGGAGCGAAAACACATTTTGTTAATGGGCGACAGCCTTGGGGATATTCATATGGATGTCGGCGAGGTTCATAAAGGACACACGATTAAGATCGGGTTCCTTAACAATTATGTAAGTGTTTACTAGTTAAATTTTATATTGCTATTTATCAGACGGAAGAATTATATGCACGTTTTCTACAAGGATTTGATCTTGTAGTGATCAACGACCAATCGATGACCATTCCACAAGCATTGACGGAAGTGAGTGACACGCAACAATCCAATACCTTTATAAAATTTTACTATTTTTAGATGAAAACCATATTAAAAACAATCATTTTTCAGATGATCGCCACGGGTGCTGATGTCAATCTTTAGTCGCGATTTTTAGCTTCCGTGATGTTCGGAAAAATTGTTGAGCTTTCTTTCATTTTGTCAATTTATTTATGCATTTTACGTTTTTACGACAGGGTTAAAATTCTGTCGGGTGTGCATTAAAACGATGGGTTTAATCTGGGCTTTTTCGTCGTTTTAATTTGTAGCTCCAACTTGTTTTCCAAGTCATATACCTTGTAATCATATCAACGATTTTTAATAAAATGTTGTCAAATGCATAATGATAGAAATGGAAAGATTAATACGCTTTATAATGTTTACTAACCCGATATATTCCTGTAACAGGCGTCCAAATCACGAGCTCAAATCATTGCGAAACAAATCCGAACGTTTCGATGACTAATCATGTCTAGCCAAAAGATCTAACCAGTGATAAACGTCAACCGAATGATATGGGGTGATTTCTTTGGCGGTGCCGCGATGTAATGTCCCGTTGCCTAGCTGTTCCTTTCCCGCCATTCTCACTCGTACTTTGTTCAACAGATTTTTTCGCCTAGCTTTGCCTACGAAAATGAAGCTAAATCTTGATGCCCTATTCTCGCAAAGCCATATCAGATGCAGGTTCGTAAAAAAAGAGTATAGTAAACTATAGTAACCTGTGGTATTTTAGAGATCGTGAGGCCCTCGAAAAGAAGCTTGCCGCCGTTGTTGAGGATGGACCGAGGGAGCTTTTGGTAGCACACTCCTCGGAATGTAAAGCTCGATGATAATTTAGATAATTTCTGATTTTGACCAAACTCTATCTCGAGCTTATGATGAAGAAGGAAAGCCTTGCACGTCGTCAATTGGTGTTTTCCGGCTGCATGGTGACAAAATTCAGCCTGGCATGGCAAAAGAGGTAGGAGAATATCTCTATTTTGCAGAGAAATAAGCTAAAATCGTCTAACTACTTAAATTGACGATGGTTTAAGATGCAAGAACTCTTCGAAAAGTACTACCCAACCGAGTGCAATCCCCATTTGACGATGGAGCAGAAGTTACCGACAATCAAAGAATGGTTAGTGGTTCCTCAAAATAATAAGAACTTTTTAGGTGGGAAAAAGCACACGAAGTCGTGACCCGCGTTCCCTTTACTGCAGAACGATTGCAGCAGCTCGTCCTCGAATCGAACCTGCGGCTTCGGTATGTTAATTTTGTTTTTGCACTTTTTACAAAAATTTAGTGACGGTGCAGAAGAATGGCTTAAGAACCTCGAAGGCCATGGCATTGCCATTCTTGTTTTCTCTGCCGGGATCGGTGATGTTATCGAAATCTATTTAAAGCATCAGCTAGGCGAGGTAAACAGCAGACTTTTTCGAGATAAACTGCTTTAGATCCCCAATCATCTCCACGTGATTGGAAACTTTTTGGAGTATAATGCTGAGGGTTCTGTAACTACATTCCAAGAGCCAACGATCCACGTTTTCAACAAGAATGCAACGGTTATTAAGAAGGCATGCCTTGGATTTTTAGGGCCTTTTTAATGTGCTAAATTTGTAGAATGGACCGTTCTGGGACGCGCACTCGGAGCGGAAGCACATTCTTTTGATGGGCGACAGTCTCGGAGATTTGCATATGGATGTTGGAGAGGTGCACAGTGGCCAAACTATCAAAATTGGGTTCCTGAATATCTACGTGAGCTTGGTTGTGGTGCCAGAAAACATAAAATTGTAGTCCGATGACATGCTTGCCAAATTTATGGACGGGTTCGATATTGTGGTCATTAGGGACCAGACCGTCGATGTTCCAAAGTTCATCACGGAGGTAAAATATAGAAAGTAAATTTATAACTTTTAAATTTAGTTGATTGCCAATCGAGGTCGTGCGATGGAGTAACAAGTAATATTGCATTTATTTTTTGAAAAGCACAATAAACTGAAAAAATGACATTCAAGCGTACAGGCAGTAGACAAAACATAATAACATATGTTATACGATCTCACCGGACTATTCAAATTTTACGTAATAGTAGGAAGCTCGATTCTAGCTATTGGAATAGCTATCGTTACGGGCTGGAGAATTTCTATAGGGTGGATACTCTTCCCTGAAAACGCTTCGGAAGAATTCCTTCGAGGTTCCGGGACGCAATTGGTTCTTACACGGAATTTGTGCTAAAAGAGGTTTTTAATTGTTTTGCAGGGACACGTACTTGCTCAACATGTCTCGCGTAGAACCAATTTTTGATACGGGAGCCCGGGCGTCGGAGTAGGAAATAGAGACTCACCTAAATTACATAATTCGGAGCTTGAAAAGTAAAAAACTAACAAATGGCGACGGCCAAACAAAAATAATTTCCAGGGCTTACCAAAATTATAGGTGTCAAGACACAAGCGATAGGAGTTATACAATCCTGCTCAACCATGCCGTGGAATATTAAAACCCGAAAATTTTGATGTGGAAGGCGACCCGAAATTTGTAGCTAACCAGGAAAAAAGTCCGGGTCGTGCGGGCCAATATCGTACTCTCTTGAGGACCTGAAATTATCCGGGACCCAACCTAAAAAAATGTAGTTTTGGGGGAAACGGCTGGGACCGAAACACCTTTTTTTGTTGGTTTCCAGGGGAAGTAATAGCAGGAAATTTACCGCCAGATGCAAACAGTGAGAATTGTTTATCCAAAATTGCACATGGAGGTCTAAAGATCTAGGGTGAGTGTTGGTAAGGGCATCAATCACAACGGCTTTCCACTTTTGAGCATGGCAAATGTGTTGAACACCAGGCTCGCTGAGAGAATGATCGAGAAGAGGTTGAAGCTGACGAAGACGACGGCTCCAATTCCGGATGAGCAGAAGCCAAACTAGGAACAAAAAAGATCTTTGGAATGTCAACATGCTGACCTGGCTCAAATCGTAATGAACACTGACAAACGGCTCCCTCGACACCATTTTTCCGTCAATTTCGAAGGTAGCATTTTCTAGAGAGACTTGATCATCGGTGTTTCCAAATCGAATCGATTATGATGCATAATTTTTCCGTTGGACTTACCGCCACTTGCCAAGTTTGAAATATTCGCCTCATGCTCCAGCTCTGCCAAACGTCGACGTCTTGGCGGTTCTGGGCACGTCGGGTACTAAATATCACTTTGAACGCTAATTGATTTCAACCCTACCTCACAAAACTCCTGCCCCGGTTCCTTGATCGAAATCGTAATCTCACAATCAAAGTACATGTTCTCCCGATCGGCATATTTATAGACGTGAGCTTCACGACCTGCCATCAAGTCCGAGATGTACTCGAGGTTGTTGAGCAAGTACTTGTCTTGCGCGCATCTAAATGAGGTTCAAGTCGCAGTCGTATTACTTCACTACCCCTTTTCATCCAGTAACCTGACGACATCACCATTGCCGTCATTGACCGTGCAGCTATGGACGGTCATGCAAAACGTGTCGTTGTACTGCGACTCGCACGTCCATTTATGGTATACCTTAAGTGATTACGATAAGTATTCATCATGGAAAACTCACCATCTGGCCGACAGTCGTGTAAAGTACTGGTGGGCCATTCGGGCTCCCATCCAAGACTTCATATTTGCATACTGGCATTGGGATGTTGGCGGTGTGCATTGTTGGAGGAGCCATACTGGAACGATAGCGATAATACAAAACAATATAAATTCCTAATGTTCGTTTCCTTTCTAATTGGTAAAAATAATTTGCAAGTGCTTGAAAAGCTTAACTTACCTTATTTCTATCTGTTTCTCGAGCCTTCTCTCCATCTCCATGTAAAAGCATTGAACTTGGTAAAGCCGGTCGACCTTGGTGAGAAATTCAGGATGGAAGGCAATGATCACACGGGTCGTCACGAAAAGACCCCGAGGCGATTCCTAGAAAGGGTTCATTCACTTTCATATTATCATTTTCAAATATTACGCTTTCAAATACCTTGAGAATTTTTAAGCCTTTTTCGGAAGTCAGAATTAGCAAGCAGCTAGGGAGGGAGAGAGGGAGAGCGAGAGAGAGAGAGAGAGAGAGAGAGAGAGAGAGAGGGAGAGAGAGATAAAGAAAAAGATAAAGAGAGAGAGTTAGCCAGAGAGGCAGGCAGACAGCCAGAGAGACCAAGATGCAGACAAACAGAAAAAGTCTGATCCAGGATATCCAGCTTCTTTATTACTCATCCCTTCCATCCTCCGATTTCCCCAACACCCACGACGCACCAAAAAACGTGGTTTGCTCCTGGTCTTCTGAATTGACTTTGGCTCCCGCGGGCGGGCCCTTGAAGCCGCTAATCATGTGGAATGACGGGTGGCCCCCGTTTCGCGCAATTGATACGCGGAATGATAGGGGGGAAGGGGTGAGAAGCGAATGGATGCGGAACGGCAAACAGCCACCCTAGAGCCGGCCCGTTTTTCGCTATCCGCGCCGAGGCCCGCGGCGGCACGCCCCAAACAAAGGGACCGGACCCGCAACACATCTTACGGGCCACGTCCTATATAAGCACGTTGACGCGATAGGGCTGGATCATTCTCACGAGAGTGCTTTGACATTGGTTCCGGATTCAGATTGTTTTGAAACGTCGCCTGCATTCTTTGAATTACGCTTAATTCACAGGATTTTTGTCACGTAATTGGTCTCAATGGGTTTCTTCAGATGAGAAAATTAACGCTGCTGCTATTGGCGTTCTTCGTGGCGCTGGGAGCCGCCCAATGGGGAGGTGACGGTGGATGGGGAGGTTAGTGCATTTAAGGAAAATTCAAGTGGCGTTGAAGGTATTAAGGTGCATATTTGAGTATCCTCTAGGTATCCAAAACATTTGCATTTAGGTGGCGGCGGTATGGGAGGTGATGGAATGGGTGGAGGTGATATGGGCGGAGGCGGCGGTTGGGGTCAGTTTTTATTTAATATGGTTAGGGTGGTTGTTTGTGCTCAGCCTAAGTCGCACGGCAAGGCATCAGCCCTGCATAAAACGGAAGCGCCTAAATATTTACGTAGACAAACCAGCCAGTAGCCGTTTTAAGCGTTAATGGAGTTTTGCGAGGTCACATAATAGCGCTTCAAATTTTGAGAAATTTCCATATTTCAAAAACTTCCGAACGATAACAGCTCTCGTGGAGAAAGGGTTAAAAGGGGCAAAATCAGCTCCTTCACAGCAACTTCTCTCGAAAGCTTCATGATTTTGTAATTTCTGAAAAATATGTCTAATTCAGAACTTGCAGCCCTATCTAATAAGCTACGTCACATAGCAATGCTCCCGCAAAGCGCTTTTTTGTAAGCCCAACTAAGAGATACAGACGTCAACAGGCGCCTTCCGTTATATACGTGGATGACAAATTACCAAGCGCGTTAAAATTCAAGCTCCAAACCCTCACTTTTATCTAAAAACCAGGGTTGAAAAGCCGCTTCGCGACTTTTCAACCCTGGACCCGTCTGCACCCATGATATACTTGGCTTTGCATAATTTGCGCGGATTCGGATGACGAAAAATAAAAAATGCTCTCTCCGTGCCTTTATGTAGGCTACCGCGACTTCCGGTGCATGCTAATTTCTCCCTAACAAAGAGGGGTGCCCGATTTTCCATGAAAAATGAATTTTAATGTCGAAAACAGCGTATTTTGTAAAATCTAATATGTGTGCAGTCATCTCCAGCCCATTACGCATCTAATGACGTATCGAACATACCCCTAAGTACTTCCCTTCTTGAGATACTACTGGAACACGGTGACGGAAGTTGCATGCAAATGCACACACACACACACACAGACACTATTTTTTTATATATAGTAGGATACCCATTTTAGGAGGTGACGGAGGTTATGGCGGTGGCGGTGATGGTGGCTGGGGAGGCGGTGATGGAGGTGGGAAATCCTATACCTAACTCAAGTTTCGTTATCTAGGTTATGGCGGAGGCGGTGATATGGGTGGTGGTATGGGAGGTGGATACGGTGGAATGGGAGGCATGGGAGGGAATATGGGAGGAGGTAAGCATCAAAAAGAACTCAACTGAAAGCCTAAATTTTGAGGTTACGGAGGCTGGCCCAACAACGGCCGCTAAACCGACGCGACCAGTCACCACCCTATTTTATGGCACCCTCGCGGGCTATTTAATAAATTATTGGTCACCGAGAATCGTTTGTGCACAGCGCATTCTTCGAATCCGATGCGAAGTGAGGTGTTGCGCACACCGTCTCCATCAGCTGGGGGAGAGCGGCAGGCGGGGTCGTTTAGCTTGTCTTCGACGAAGACGAGCCCTCGGAATGGGGTTCGTGTGTCGAAACGGATCTGGAATTTATCGCAGAGCATGAGGAATAATTGTTGTAGAGAAGAATTCCTGTCAAAATCCCGACAGCTTATAGCCGGAGAGACCAAAATACCGACAGCGAAGATTCCGACAGCTAAAGCCCCGACAGCCGAAATGCCGAAATATTCTGGATGCGTGTCCTTGCTTTCTGGGACACTAGCTTTTAAACAGCAATTGTGCATATTGGGATTCTGGCTGTTGAAAGTATGACTGCAAGAAATTGGCCATATCGGATGTTTGTCGGGATTTTGGCGTCTCCCCGTTGAAACAACAGACACGCGGAAACATTATTTGTATAGTTGTCCGCAATCAGTAAAAAACTTAAACTACTATACCTCAATATGCCCATCGCCACAATCCAAAAACGGGTCTCCGATGACGCCGTTGTCGACTTGTGCATAAACACTCCCCTGCAAAAACGGTGACTGTCAAAACCTCGAAAATATTTTTTATTTTTCAAACATTTTTACATTTCAAACTCTAACTTTTCTCCCTCTTTCCCCCATTTTTAGTAGCTGTTGTGGATAGTATCCACTAGACTAGGATAGGATCTACGTATATGCAGAGTCAGCCAGCGAATCCATATTGGATAGACGAGTTTGAGAGGCCGAGGACGCTCTCCCCTAGCCCTCAACTAGGCAATGACCGCCGTCGGCCATCGCTGAATATCGATCAAGTCATACAGGCAAATCGAAATATGAACCTCAAACACAATAGAGGAGGTTGAGTTTGATATGGTAAATTGACAAGAACAATATATTGGGACCTGTCATAAAAAGGAGACATTTTCTTATGCAAAGGAAGTTTTTTACAACGATTTTGGTATTCAGGATTAATAATTCGTTTTATATTATTATTCTGAAGATATGAAAACTTACTAGAGAGAACAGCAATATCCAAGTTGCCGCTCTCATCTGTCTGAAATTCGCTTTCTAACATTTTCAAGCGCTCAAAAAAATTGTCCGGAAGAAGATTATGAAAACCGATACCAAGAAATTAAAGAAAAGCAATGATAAAAATGCTGGTAACACAAAACGTGAAAGAAGCAGAACATTTGCCCATCCTCCTATGCAAAGACAGCTTTTGGGCGTGGACAGATCGAGATCTCTAGTGCGAGGAAGGGGGAGATTCATTAGCATGATCCGCCCCCGGGAGGAGGGCTTCAATGGCTCTTGGCTTGCCGGCAGTTATTTTGGCTCTATACCGGTAACGGGGTCCTTAAAAAAAATAAGGGTCCTTAAAAAAAATAAGGGTCCTTAGAAAAAATAAGGGTCCTTAAAAAAAATAAGGGTCCTTAGAATTTCAGGTTAAGGACCCCTGTTCCGACAGGGGTCCTTAAAATAGATACTATTTTTAAGGACCCCGATTCCGGCAACTCCCGAAAATACAGTATTTTTGCCGTTTTCGCGCAGACGCGGATTCGCGACAGATTCTCCTTTGTTTCGCATTTTGAATTACACCCAGTTTGTGCCTAAAAATAAGGCTTCGTGCCACCCGGGGCCTAGTCGCTTCGGATGGGTGCGAGCTCGTACAGGGTTTCGAAATGGGGGCGCCCGAGGAGCGCGAAGCGCCCAGGCGCCCCGATTTCGGAAGAGTGGAGCGGCAGCCCATCCGAAGCGACGGCTCACCTTGCCTGACACGCCATAAGCGTCAAATTGTCCCTGGCTAAAGAACCTAGTACGTCGGGTTGCGTGGAAATTTCTGTGGGGATGAGCACGATTTCAGACTTATGGCGTGTCAGGCAAGGCGGGCCGTCGCTTCGGATGGGCTGCCGCTCCACTCTTCCGAAATCGGGGCGCCTGGGCGCTTCGCGCCTGGGCGCCCCCATTTCGAAACCCTGTACGAGCTCGCACCCATCCGAAGCGACTAGGCCCCGGGTGGCACGAAGCCTTATTTTTAGGCACAAATTGTGTGTAAGAGAGTCGCGTAATTTAAATAGCTAAACGAGGCATAATCTGTGCAAAAACGGCGAAAATACTGTATTTTCGGGAGTTGCCGGAATCGGGGTCCTTAAAAATAGTATCTATTTTAAGGACCCCTGTCGGAACAGGGGTCCTTAACCTGAAATTCTAAGGACCCTTATTTTTTTTAAGGACCCTTATTTTTATTAAGGACCCTTATTTTTTTTAAGGACCCTTATTTTTTTTAAGGACCCTTATTTTTTTTAAGGACCCTTATTTTTTTAAGGACCCCGTTACCGGTATAGAACCGTTATTTTTCCTGAGGAATGCGAAGCCAAAAATGGTTGCGTGTCCTTTCCGGTGTTTAGATGGCCAAAAACTGTTTGGAAGAAAATCTGCGGATATGAATCGTATCTTGCTTTATTAAATGGATGACTGCTTTTTAATAGATAATTCAAAACTCTTTATCTCGCTTTATCAACTTATGCAGCGCTTTGAAAAATAATGGATCGTTGCCCAGCATTCGGAGCTTCACGTTATGAATCAACGAGCCGACAAGCCCTCCCAAACTGATCTAAATATTATATCTTTTTAATCTAAATATTATAAAATAAATAAAATCAATCCATACCTGTTTTCTTAGCTCTCCAACCGGAATATTGCGCAGCGTCTCGTAGTGTGAGTGAAAGAGCTTTGATTCCGTAAGCGGAATTTGTAGGAGATGCGCTAAACTATGAAAAAAATACCAAAAATATCTTCTCACTGATTATATATCCAAGCGTCACGTCATCAGGGTAGCTGATGTTGTAAGAAATTTCGGAAAATTTCGAAATATACGGGTACAGCCTTCTCAGCAATCGGTTGGATAAACAAATCCCCGCACCTCCGGTGGCAAAGGTAAAAGTATCCTAATCTAGGAGTAGAATTGAAAGAAGCTTTAAGCTACCCCTTTCTTGTTTAGAGCTACTTCAGCCGCAGATTTCTTTCCAATATAAAAATCACGATTTACGTCCATCTCCCTCAAGAAGTCGATTAGTCGAGGAACGTTGACATAATTGTCGTCGTCAAAATGGCAGCCCCAGCTGGAAATTTGAAGTTATTAGGAAAAAGGCATTCACCTAGAATTGGATTCGAGCAGTATCTGCAGTTCCAGAGCCATTTTACAGCCAAGTTGCCTTCTACAAAAATAATAAAGTTAATGTAGTTTCAAAACTGGCCTTTGATGACCAATTCCGCAATCAGAAGCTATCAAATTGCCATTGAAAAGTTTCGCGGTTTCTTCGTCTTTATGGTCGGTTATAACAATTGTCTTAAAAAATTTGTATTACGTTAATTATTATAATATTTTACAAGTTCACCTAGCTAAGTCCTAAACTTTTCGTTATAAAGATTGTATTGAATAATGATTGAATAAAGACGTGGCTCTTAAAGTGCATGCCTGATCCGGAAGCCATTCCAACCATGTCTCTGCAATATACCCCAAACGAGTTCGATGATTGGCAAGAGTTGATTTTATCGTAATTAGTAGTGACGCGGAATTTATCGGAAATATAGAACAAAGCAGAAAATAAAGAAAAAACATTTTTGCCTCATTTTGCAGCAAATAGAACAAACGACGGGCTAGCAACGGCCCTTAAATTATTAAGGTGAGGACCGGAGGAGGAAGTAGACTATTTTTACGCAGGTGAGATCAATAAGCCGGGCGGTCAAAATATATACAAGCAAGAATACGGGAATTTAATCAGTTTTTGCGTGGCCGGAGTCGTGAATTAGCCGGTCGCCCCGTCGGCGTGACTGGCAGGCTCGGTGACTTTGATTTCCGTTGCTTACGGACTAACCGCACATGCTTTCGCCACTCACGTCGAAGCTTAATGACGGCTTGCCGGGCTTGTTGCTAAAATTATTACGTTGTTCTATGAAAAGTAGTAAGGCTTACGAATTCCATGGCAATGTAGAAGTCGTACTGGTTGGGTTGCGTTCTCTGCCACTTGATCTGCTGTTCATCGTACGCCTCCAACTGGTTGGCGAAGCAGTAGACGGCCCGCTTTGCGCCCTAGATCGTTCCGGTAAGTGTTCGGTCTATGATTACTTACATCCCATTTAATTTCAACGACATTTTCCGGGAGTTTTCTCGGTGATTTCCGCCAGGTGTCCTTCACCAAGCAGCCGTAGAGCCGGGAATTTTGATGCCAACGGATCATGCCGTGTTGACCGACCTGAATTTTGCAGTGATAGTTTTTACGATGTCTTAACCATTGTTTTTACTTAATGTTAATCTTTAATTTTAATGTTTAATTTCTTGTCTTGAAATCCTTTGCATTATGAAGCCAAAAACTACTTTCTAAAGTACCAACCTGACTGCCGATCTGCAAAAACTTTTTGGCGGAGCGTGTAAGGGCCATTGTGGTAGTTGTTTAGTGGTTGGAAGTAATTTAGAGCTTAGAAGTCCTGTTGGGAATCTCATTTTAGAAGCCGTTATATAACGTTTCCAACGAGGGCCAAGTCGAAACGTGTGGAACGGGGCCGAGTCTCGGTCGGCCTGCGCTCTCTTGGCCTTTTCCGGTCTATCACCGCGGTGAGTCAAGCTTGTTGCCAGCGTCGTGCGTTCGTCAGGCATTCGGGTCTCGACCTGTGAGCGCTTTTCGTAAAAATTGTCGGCCCAAATTTGGCTGCATCACGCTCCAAAGGTCAAACCAACGTTGATTGTCTTCGTTTCATCAGGTCTAAAATCTCTACAGTTACAGAGCAAAAGCCAAGTCTCAAAAAATATACTTTATTCCATCACCCATCTTCGCTACACACGAAATCACGGACGAATATTATCACTACAGTAGGGGAGTACAAGGCGCCAGCAAAGGTGAATAAATACCGGAGGCAAAAAAAGATCGCTCGAGAATGTGAGAGGAAGACAGTGGTCGAGGGATAAGATACGAGAAAAACCCGAAAAAGAGTGCAAATGATGGGTTGACAAGGGTCCAGGGGTCCAATGATGGTTCGATATATTCACATGGCGGTGAGCAGATCATCGGTGCAAAGAAGACGTCTAGGCACCCATTTCGAATTGTCGGTTCGAGCGAAGCACTAGAGGATAATTAGCTTTGAAGTAATAAAAGGTTGATACCACGGGTCACGTAGAGATAGAAGAAATCCGCGTAGAGCACCGTCTGCACGATACCGGCAACCGTGGCAATCGGGTCGAAGAAGCTTTCAGTTTGATATCTAAAGAAAATAAGTATCAGGTTTTTAGAAAAAACCTGTAGAACCAGTTGAAGATGTAGAGGGCCCGGTAGATGCCCAATGCGAAGAGATAGTGAGCGGTGATCGTCTAAAAAGAAATATAACGTTTCCAGAGACACGGTGTATGGATAAGCTCTCAAAAGTAAAATCCTTACCTCGGCGTTTCCGGTTCGGGAAAGCATGAAGAGTTGGGGCATGATGGCGACGGCCTCGAGGTAGATTGAGAAGGTCCACATAATCTTGAAAGAAAATATATTTGATTCATGCAATTTTTCATACCTCCATAAGGCTGAACTCGTGGTTGACGAGAAGGGCCAGGGCAGCGCATGGAACGACGAGGAGCTCGATGCGAAGAGTGTCGTTATTCCTGCAAAGTAAAAATGAGCCTAGCCTAGTCAGGAGTTTTTATCGGATAAACGTAGTTGAAAGCTCAATCTTACCTGTCGTAAGTCGCCTTGAATTTGTGCCACATCAGCCAAAGGACACCGAAGGAAGAACCGAGGTAAAAGACCTATGACAAGTGTCAGCGATTGTAAAGAAATAACTACCTTCATGACAGTGTTATAGAAGGAGACGAAATGGGTAAACAGATCCAGGTATCGAGTGACGAACACGAGGGCGAAGAGGATCTGTGATCGCCCGGAGATTCCTGAAAATAAGAGGTTAGTAAAGGCAAATCAAAAAAATAATCGCTCGTAAACGAAAAATATTTACCTTCACAGCTCCTTGACTTCCATATTTTGTGCAAAAGGATGACGATGGCGAGGAGATGAGAAATATCTCCGGTGAGGCGAAAGATATTCATCGCGGCCCAATTCTCCCAAGGAGTTCGAACTGAAAAGGATTTGGATAATGGAAGTCTACCAAAAAAAGCAGGATAAAACGCAGAAAATAAGGAAGTATTTATCAAGGACCTTGTACCAGAAAAAAGGGCTGTTTTGCTAAAAACCGCGCGCTCACTATCGAAAACCAGAAAAGCTAAACTAATATAGTAAGGAGAAATTGATTAGTTTGCGCTAATTTTAGTAATTTGGCGCGCACAGATCGTGGAGGGAACGGCTATAGCCGGATTTGGGTTAGTTCCACGTCAGGCTTGTTACCCCAGGGCACCACTCTTTCGCTGCTGCGCACACAGAGAGCTGTGCTACGGTCACTGGGTCGCGCTATAGCAGAAAACGAGGTCGCGGTGAACGGATGCAGAGTACGGAACTTGACACGAGACGCTGGACGGAAAAGGAGTTCGGTTACAGTAAGGGTTGTCGAACTCGATAAGTTTCAGGTGGCTGATCGTAGTGAACTTATTGTTAGTCAGTAAAGGCAAAATCATTACGGCCTCGTATTTTAACAATCAGGAGGTAAAATTCCATTTTTTTTATTTTTTGATGGTAAAATGTCGTAAAAATTATTTTATTTAATAAACGTCGCGTGGCACACGCTTCATGTTATTGGTTATGCCTCAATTCCTCTAAGAATTTCATGAGTTCCTAGACCAGCCTCGCCCATCACTCGACCTATCATCGTATATATACCGAAATCCTATAAACCAAAACCAAGCACAGAAAACCAATCACAGGGCTTCCCCTAGTTTTTCTCCCGAAGAGCTGACAAGAGCTGCTTTTGTTTTGGTATGGCGGCCGAAGCCAAGGAGGGCCCTGCGCGGAGCCAGCCCTCCAACCACACTTCCGACACGTCAAAAATTGCTCTACTCAGCCAGAATGCCCCATATGGCCTGGGCCCATATATAGCAGCTGGACGTTGGCTTTACAATAGACACAAACACATGAAACACACAAAAAAAAACAGACAATATAGATACCTAAATCGTTAAAATTGGGCGCGGCTGCCGCCCGCTAGGGGACACCAGGTTTTACCCAACTTACCGTAGGTCTTCCTCTTTCTGCTAGTCTCATTTTTTTGCTAAATTGAAAGCGCCGCTTCTTCCTGTTTCCTTTTTTCTATTCGCCGCAACCCCAAAGGCCGTTTTTTCCAATTATCCATTTTTCCGCGTGTTGCCATCATAGTTGCCCTCGTTTCTGCGAAACTCATTAACTCGAAGCCCTCCGTTTGGTGACCACAGGGCAGAAAAATGAATGATTGCTGCCTAAATTGCCGGGGTGAGTAAGGGAAGCCGCCATCGCTCGAGAAAGGCGAGATATTTTGGGCCTCATAATTCGACATAAACTCTTCGCCGCGATGGGCGGGCCATATAAAGGTCGTGGGTGCTGTGGCTGTCACGTCACGCCTCCTCCTCCCCGGCAGCACCTTCTGCTCCACCTCGTTCTCACATTGACCATTTCCGCTCAGCAACGCGGCCATTGTCCGGTGGATGGTTGCTGTCGTCATTTATTTGTAGATGGATTGCCTGTGCAGCGGATGCTCTCTCTGAGCTCTAACCATCTTGTGTTGTAGTCGTTTTGAAGCTAATTTGGCTCTTTTCTTATTGCCGTCACTGTTGCGTGCTGAAAAAACTGTGAAATATGATCCGAATATGAAATTTTGTGCACATCTGAAACGTGAAAAGGCGCATCGCGTTGAAAAATCTGCGCCCGATGGATCAGCCGGGCACCCTGCCGTTTCATGTGTAACCTTTTTTCTTGCATGACCCTGAGTCCAAACTTTAAATTCAGGATATTACTCATTTCGATGAGTGATTACTCATAATTATTGCCGACATTGTGCGCATTTTCCTTGCCTTAGCCAGATCTATAAATAGATGAAATTATGGCATTTTTTTGCGCGGCTTAACACTTTCTCTCTTCATTTTTGTTTTCCCAATATATTTTTTAATTTTTTTGGTAAAGAAAAATTGGTTTTTCTGTGATGCATCACTCCATTTCCCTCTTGGAGTTTATCGCTTGGTCTCTAATTTCACATGAAATTCTGTCGTTTCCAGATGCCTTCCGACTTGAGGCTATCCTCCTTATGGACGGGACGAATTAATTTGCTCCTGATGAGTTGCACTTCCTTGGCCTTCATCAGCTTACTCCCATCCACAATGGCAGCCAGTAAGTCCAAAACAGTACGATAAATCTATCGCCTCTCGTTAGCTCGAATCAGCTACAGCTTGCCAAAAATCAAGCTCATCGGAGGGACGTACGACGAGATGTCGGCTAGCTATGACGCTTGTCAAAATCGATGTGGCGCGGCGACATGCTGTGTCGGCTTCACTTACGGACACCGGGAGAAGAGGTACCAACTTCCGAACTTTTGAACCCCGGCTTTAGGTGCTACCTAAAGTCCGCGATCGAGACCTCGGAGGAGGACGAAGATTGGACGAGTGTTTTGATGGCCAATTCCAATCATGGTGCATAGAAAGCCAGCGATAGGGGATCAAAAATTTAGGCCAACGCGCCACCCTGCGTAACGTTTTTATCGATGGGCAGCGGAGTTCTTTTGAGTTGCCGAGCGCGGAAGATTGCCATCAGTATTGTACAGGTATGATACTGATTTTTTTAGTGTGTATTTGAGAACGTTTTTTGAAACTTATCGTCTGCATGGCTCCCCTTCTTCTGCCTTAAAGCTTGTTTTTTGAAGAAAGCTTTTCTGGCTCCCGCGAGCGTTTACCGGGCTCTTAAAAAACCTTCCGATTTTGCAAACAAACAAGCGGGGATGACGTCCGCGCTAGGGTCCCCTTTTCAGTGCCACGTCGGGCTTTCGATTGCCGATTACTTGAAAAGGAATGGGAAGTGAGGTAGAGGTGAAGGGGGTTCTTTCAAGTCGCCCAAAGACCAGTCCCACTTCGTCCTCGGGGGATGCCCTGACTGGTTGCCGAGTAAGTAAGAAGGCTTCCATTTCCCCGAAGTGCCACACATATCTTCTTAGTCTCATGGCTGCTTTGAAGGCCAGGACGGCTGCGTAAAAGCTCAGTAAACTCGGCTGCTGACGCCCTAAACCTCCACACAAATATATTTACTATTTGCTGCGCATTACTCCCAGCCCTTGACGCGTAGGATGGTCGAAAACCGGGGTTGCACAGCATTTTTCACCCAAAAACAGACAGATGGGGGTAAGAGGGCTTCCGGCGGAGCGGCGCCTCGCTTCGATTGGCTAAACTAATCAAATTAGCGGTCGTTCTGAGAGACTGTCAGTCAGTCGGCAACCACCGTGAGGAGATGATTTGTTGGGCTGGGGGGGTGGGTGGGGTGACCGGAAGTTGTGGGGGGGTTGTGTTTTGGAAATAACAACTCTTAGTTGGGGGAGAGATAATGATGGATAGCGGACATGGACATGTGATTAATGGGGGAATCGTGATCTATATGATAGTGGAAAGGGTGCGATCCGAATGAGCGAAATCTGAGAAGGAGAAGTTTTTTAGTGTCGTTAGGGTTTTTAATTGGGGCCAATTGCTTGTGCAGAATATCTTGCTGATTCCGAATATGTTTACCAATTCTCCGGAATTGCGATTTTTTTGCAAGTTATAACCGAGAAAGGCTTAAAATGAGCCACTTTCCATGATTTTCCTAACTTAAATCGCACATTACTTTCGGAAAACGCGATCCCGCGATTTTGGCAAACATATTAGGCATCAACACAAAGTTCTGCATAGGAAGAGGCTGGGTTCCGACCGAAAACCCCGACGTCGCTGCGGAGCATTACATAGTCCTATGTGCGTACGACTTCTATGCCCCCTAACTTTTTCTTTACAGCATTCGGCATGTATTCGTGGATACCAGCAAAGCTAGAAGAAGAAGTCGCCGCCCAATGCCAATGCATCCAACGGATCCGGTCAATACGGTACTACTACGGGGCCCAGTCTTCACTTTTCCCCTCTTCCGACTCCAATTTCTAAACGCCACCTCCTCTGTTTGCCAAAAAACCTCCCCAGACTACGGTTCCTATCGACGATTCGAGCTTATCCCCTCCCCCTTATACCACATACCCCAGTACGTTGATCTCATTGCCCGCGTGGAAGTGCAAAACGTGATAAATTTTATGAATTTTAGGATTTTTACAGGGCTCGAAAATACACATAATATATGTTGATATGTCAAGGAAGTGATGGTCGTTGTTGAGATCATTCCCGAGGGGTTAGGTCAAGATCCTCTCGGTTTGAAGCTATACCCCGCGGGTTGTTGTCCATGCTCAAATGGATGTGCTCGTTTCGGGTCGTCGGGTCACCGTTTTCCTCATTTTTGGTGTAACGCGCCTGAAAAATGGTTGACTTAGAAAACAAAAACGACTGGGGTTGTATATATTTAGCGAAATTTTACGAGGAAACCAATTATAAGTGAGGTGGCAAGTGGCTCAAGAGGGCAGAATGTAAGCTCGCGCAAAGTATCTCTACGTAGTCTAATTTGCCAACTCGGTATCCCTATCGACGAATCAACCCGGTGATATCGTCTTGGTCACTGATATTTGATAAAAATTAACCCTACAGCTGACCAGCGAAGGGTTGAAAATGTTCTCATATCCCAGAACAGATTTCCACCATTTTTCAATTGGCCACCCCAGTCTGGCGCCAAGGTAGAAAAGGATCAACGCGGCGCAACAAGTATGTCACTATGTGGAGGGCGTCAAGTCAAGGGGGTAGAGGTCGGATTCAGACTCGATTTTTGATTGAATTACACTTGCTGCGACCGGGCTTCCGGGAGTTGATGGCTGGCTCACTTTTCGAGCTCTCGTACGTTCCAGCGTCTTGCGTAAATAGTCATGTTATTCGCCCAGCTGCTCACCAATCGGCGCATCCATTTTGGCGTGTGCGGGATGGAGGGGAAACTTTTTGAGTTTGAATAACATGAGTGATTGCGGGGGCGTGGTGGACAAATGGCTTTGTTTCCGCGTTTTTCCCGGCAGCCGGGGCGCTATCTTTGGCTTTCTGGTCGAGAGCTACCGGAAGCGCCTTTTAGGGAGGAGTTTGAGGTTCGCGATTGGGGGTTGAGCCATTTTGATGTGTTTTTTGTGTGTGAATAACGTTCCGGGTTGAGGTTAAAAATAGGGATAAGTGCGCCTGGACTCGGCTAAGAATAGCATCACCTTTTTTGTCCTACTCGCTCGAAACACAGGGTCTAGGCTCTATTTTTATGCTTTTCGTTGAGTTCTGTTTTTGCCAAGCTTGTTGACTAACCTCATAATTGTTTTGCGGGAAATCCCCGGGATAACTGTCGCCAATCTGGGTGGTGCGCACGTGGAACGGGAAATTTCGATTGGCTGCAGACGGCCAGGTGAGGACCTGAAATATTTTCTTAGTTATCGGTATTTCTTTTTCTAAGCTTACCATAAAAACGAAAAATCCGTAGAAAGTTACACAGCATTCCACAAGATTCACCACTTCTTCCCGCACCCATTTATCCATCACAAAATTTGCGATAAGAATCGAGATTGGGCCCATGAGAAACCTAACTCTTAAGTTTTTTTAGAGCTAGAATACGCCACCATAATGTCATTAGTGCGCCCATGACACTATAGAAGCCACGCTTTCCAGGGTATTTATTCGCGGTCGTGATGGAAGAAAATGCGTACGATAACCACCCTATTATCTGAATTAGAACTTTTAGCACATTCAAGTCCAAAGAAAGCTACCCTCAATCCAGCCAGACAATAACCGGGCATCGACTCCGAGACGTACGTCACCTTTGCCGAGTCAAACATCTAATTTTTATTAACGAATTGAGGCCGAAACTCACTTTTTGCGCATAGAAAAACATGGCAATGTAGACGACCATGTAACTAAAGATAAATGACACCAATTTGCATATTGACGAAGCGGAGAGACGGCCTCTAAATTGTAGAAAAATTAATTAATTCCTTTAAAGTCATTTTCACCTGGTGATCGTATAGCCCTTGGCAATTAGAAGTAGTAACAGGAGGAAAAGTGAAGTTTGAAAGCCTCTTCAAAGTGTTTTTTATCTTTCTTTTTGTAAATTTACCTCATAAACATGCCCATTTGTTTTAACTGGTTGATCCCGAATCCATTGAGAGCATACAGGTCTGAATTGTTCAATAACGAATCCGAAACCATAAACTTACAGTACGCAAATGATAAGAAAAATAATGAAACGCATTCGAGCACGATTGAAAATTGATAGAGTTTGAAGGTTTGATGTAGCAAATTTCGCGATTTTAAGGCACCTAGAACAGTTTTTGGCGATATTGTACGCAACTTTACATGATACAGCCATCGACATCAGGAGTAACACAGTTTCAAGGAGCAAAAAAGTGACATTGACGGGGAGAATATCTGAATACCCATTATTTATAGCGCTTTTTTTCCGTACAAAATTCATCGGCAGAGAAGTGGTAAAAGAATAGGTCGTTCGGGTCTCCGTTTGTCATCTCGAGGGTGTAGTCTGAAACGGAATTGAAAAAGGAGACACTAGCTGACCTGCATAAATTCCATAGCCCATTTCGATGTCACTGTAATTCGAGGAACTGGAAGAATTCGAATTGGAATTGATGAAGTTCATGGAAGAATTGCCGCGTTGGGACCCCGGCTCGCAATTGGAAACGGCTAAGTACCACCATCTGGCTCGGCGCGACCTAAAATCAGGTAGAATCGTAAATATACCTCGTAAGCGAATAGACTTAGAAGGCCCTGTCTTTCTCATCCAAATACGACCTACACAAAACGACGATTTCCTCGGCATACTGTCCATTGCAAGGCGTCGTGCTCCTCAAAGACGCAACGTGTTGTCGGGTCCCAAAACTCGTCGCCGATTGGTGTCAGACGGATCTGAAAAGATGCTAAGTTAACGATCCTGATTTACGATCCTCTCAAAACCGTCAATTTGTTCAGACTCCCCGTTTTTGGCAGTCAAATGGACTCGTTCGTTAAACGACCAACCTGCTGATTGTTTTCCGGGTCGAGTCGCGCCACCCGTTGCTCGCACTAAAAAGTGAATTTCGCGGCACTACGGGCGAGAGATTACGGTCAGGTTTGTGTCGTACACCGCGTCCCATTGATCCGAGGTATCGTAGTACAGTAGGAGACTCTGGATACCGAGGTCCTGCACAAAACTTGAAATGGTTATGGCCGAGAGAGACTTACGCTTGGATACTTTATCGTAAAGTTGAGGTTGCCAAGCTCGGAGACGAAGCAGAAGCGATCGAGGTAGGACCAGGGGAGATTCTAATCAAAAAATCCCTTTTGTGTCAATCTGATTTTGTCAGAAATTATGATAGCGAAAATCCTTTTGTCGAAATTTATTTCCGTTAAACTTGAGATTTTCTACATAGAATAAAATTTCGATCAAGCGACACCTCGGCAAATAGAAATTTCGGCGGAATAAAATTTAGCAAATTGTTTTTCGACAATTTGAATTTCGACATGCTGATAACAAATCTAATGTATTCCGCTACCATTGTTTTATTATACTCTTTTTATTTTTCTGAATACGCTTTGGATAATAAAATCTTGCTAAAATTTCCGGAAAAAGAACGCCTCGTGACCAATTAAAGCCCAAAATTCCTCAATAGATTCTCACCACATCGCCTCAGTTTTGATAGATAATGGAACCATTTTTTGCACCTCTCCAAGGGCTAATCCGGGGCTAAACCGGGCTCACCTCGTTAGTGGAAGCGATGATCCCACGGCTATACTTGGCCAAGACGCTGACACGGAATGTGAAGACCAACAACACCAAAATACCCCTCGGGATCATCATCCATCAGCCGGGTGTTTAGGCAAGTAAATTGCGTAAGGGATCGTCGAGGGGGTGGGGGTAAGGAAAAAGAGGCTGGGAAAGGGCTTCTGGCCCGTTGCCAATGCCAACGACAAAGTCTGGGCCCCCAAGCTGGATATCCCTCCTCCCCCCCCCCCCTGTTATTTGTATCATGAGTTGCCCCGGGTTCTGTTGGCACCACTGAATAGTCGGGGGTCTAATTGGAGCCCTCAAGTTGGGCTCGGTGGACTTTTCAGGTAATGGGCCGCTAATTGTCGGGGTTTCGAAGCGTTTTAGTGTCGCGATGTTGTGGTCTCTGGATAGCAGGTGTCGGGGGAATTTCTATGCATCGTAAATGCTGCCCTTGCTCTCTGGGGAAAAATAAATATTTTCAAGCGTTTTTTTTTGGGTAAATACCGTTCGAAATTGTTATTTTTTTGCGGCGACTTTATAATTCAGATCAATTTTTATCATGACTATAATTTTTCATTGATGGTTATGCGTGCATTTACGCAAGATGTACCATTTTCATACAATAATTTAATGGATTTGAATTTGAAGGGAATTGAATTTTCGAGCGTTTTTAATGCGTAAACTTTTTCTGAACTTTGAAAAACCCTGTTTTTTGTAAATCGGGATAAATCCATTTTTTTGTACCGTGTTTTACGTAAAATTTTGCATTTATAATAAAAAATATAAATAATTTATTAGCAAAAGAAATCTCCCTGATTCGGCGTCGCGGCGGTGACCAATATTCGGGGTTGCCGGGCTGGTAAATGTTTACTAAAACTCGAGATATAACCTTCCAAAAATAAACCTACCTCCTGCTCCCATTACAAACATCATTCCCCGGCTCACTTTTATCAAGCGCCAACGTTTCCGAGTAAGACGGGGGCAAGAAATACGATTGAAAGTGGTGGTTTTGGTATCCGTAGCGGTAATCTGCATACCCGACATCTGGCGGGTGACTGGGTACCCTGAAATTAGGACTGGTTTTAAGGATTTATCGACAACCTCACCGATTCGTTAATAGTTGCGTAAATTCCTCGACAGCTTTTGGTTCCTCGTCGGTCGGGGAATAACTGCTCCTCCGGACACAGGCAATTATGCCCAGAATGAGAAAAACGACGGCTGGTGTTATGAATCCGAGGAGTAGAAGGATCATCTGGAAACAAAGAAATATGGAAAATATAATCGTTAACAGGTTGAAGGAGAAACGAAAATTTTTTATTACTTTACTGGAACTCGCAATTTTCTAATGTAAGCAAAGAACTTTAATCGTCATTTAAATAATTTCACAGCAAATAATAATGGGACGAAAAATTAGCGAAAGACGGAAAAGTCGAGAGAGAGAGAGAGACAGAGGGAGAGAATTTGTGAAGTTAATCCAAAGATCATTCAACATCACTTAAATTTATTAACGAGGGGAGCGAAAGACACAAAACGAGAGCGAGAAACAGAGAGAGTGAGGAAGCGAGAAATAGAGAGAGAGAGAGAGAGAGAGAGAGAGAGAGAAAGAGAGAGAGCAAGATTTTTAAAGATAAGCCATTAATCAATTAAATCTATTAACGAATCACGATATCTTGGTTTGACAAAAAAAAGGAACGAGACGAAAAGGGCGTGTGAGAGAGAGCGCGCGCGCGAGAGACAGATAGAGAGCGAATCTTTCAAATTTCCCGTATTCGAAAAATCTAACGAAATCGTGCCAACAAATACTATGATCAGGCTCCAGGATTTCCGCCCAAACTCCCAGCACCGAATGATGCTTATTAAATTCAGCTGATTAGGCAAATGGATGAATCGGGTGGATGTTTGCTCACTAACCAGTGGCTAGTAGCCACCCAACCCTAGCAATCTGCAAAACAAAACCTGAAACTTTTGGCTCCCCCCGGCTGGATGTCGGTGGGGGTTGTAGATGAGGGGCGGAAAAGCCGAAACGAAGGTTTTGAGAGACGGAAAGGTAGCCTGACGGCTTGGGGTTGGCCGCGTGAATATTAAATTACATTGGACGGCAAAGGGGGAAGCCGGGAGGTCCAGCAGATAGCAGAAGAAGCAAGAAGGAGACGACGAGACCCGAGTCCATTCCCCGGATGAACGGACAGCTTTTTCACCCCATTAGGCTGGATGTAATTTTGACAACGCATCCGGGGGGAGAGACGTGGTTTTCGGAAGGAAATTGGGACCAAAGGACGATTCTGGTTCTGAAATTCGATGCCAGGTTTGGCCGAAGTAATAATTTTAGTTTGAGGCGAAAAGGAATGGCCGCATTTACGCAATTGACTTGCTGAAAGAAAAAAAACGTTGAAATCCCCCACAGCCATAAGCTCGACATCGAGAAACCCGTCAGCCAAAATCACGACAAGTTCAAATTTCGAAATCTGATTGGAAAGAAGTTGCATTCATACAAGCTCTAAAAAAATTATCTATAGACGTTAAAAATTTTAAATGGCGAAATTTTGGCCAAAAATCGACTATTTTTGGTCAAAAAATCGGTAGTTTTTGTACATCCAATGAAAATTTGTGAAGTTTTTACGTTTAAGGATAGTAAAAAATGGTGTAGAAACAATTCAGCTATTCAAACACTTAAAATTTTTAGGTGTCGGGATTACGGTGGCCGAAATCCTGGGTGTCGGGATTTTGTCTGGAATAGCCTAAAAACCCTTGAAGCAACCGAATTACTACCCTTCAAAGCAGCCATGACTATTCATGAAATCCCGTCATTTTGGACACATCTTGAAATTGGCCCGACCCGTCGAATTGAGCCAATCAACCGGCCGTCTGCCCAATTAATTTTAATAAGAAGTAGCATCAGGAAGACCGGATCAAAAAACCGCCAAATAAAAGGCGACAGGAAAAGGATAGAAGCGTGGGTTTTCAACAACGCCTTTCTCAGTCCGGGCCGAGAAGTGTGCACCCCTTGAGGGCAGAATGATGGCCTCGAAGCGATGAAATTGCAAAAAAACGAGGGCCCGAAGAAGGCACACTCCACGCCAAAGCAGACCCCCACATTTCCGTTTCACGGCACAAGGGTTGGCTGGGGGGGGGGGGGATGAAGAAATGAGACCAGGGAGAACGTTATTTTTACGAATATTTCGAGCCTCAAAACAAGTTTTGAGACGCGATAATGAAGAAGTGAGGCGACGTGGAAATTCTGTAGCTGCAGCGAGCGCTGCTGCCGGAAGTTGGACGTGGCTGAAACCCTCCTAAAGAATGGAATTTTTTCAAGGAGCATGACATGAGCACCCGACTGTTATCGGCGGGGCGGGAGGATTTTGGACGATCAAAAGTTTCTGATGTCTTTCCCTTGTTGTTGCTGTTGATAATAGCTAGTATTTCTATTTTCAAGCATCGTTTCAAAATTTTTTTTGATTGTTTGGCCGATTTTAATTTTTGAACAAAAATTTTCCAAGTTTTGAAATTTATAGATTCTTATGTGTGTTCTGTACCCAAAAATCCTTGAAAACCACTAAAAAACCGGCCTATTACTTGTTATGTGGCCATACGTCATGACTGGCGAAAAGTTGGCTCCCCGTAAAATCCACCTCCCCCGCTAAGAGCCCAGTACCGTAACGCTGTACATCACAAAGGGCTCTTCGTGTCATACGTTACTAATTCCGTAGATTCGTTCTCCTAAGCCTGGGCTGATCTGACGTGCTAACGCGGCGGTCGTCGAGCAGCTCAAAAAATGTCAACACCATTAAACCATCAAAAAGTTGTAGGAAACATTCAGCTTAGCATAGTTGCTTAATGTTTGATTTCTCTTTCAATCCTTTCAAATTCAATCAGTTGTTTTGTAGCATGTTGTTTATCCTCATTCCTGAATCCTAGCATCCGAGGTGGTGGCGGCACAATTTGTGATGGGCGTGTATGTCGCTTGGTGAGGGACCGGTAGAGCGTCGAAATGGCTGCGGTGTCCGTTGGTGTGCATCGGCCTGAGACGGCGAGCCTCGCCACAAAACATCCCCCCAATTGCGCATCCAACCACCTCCACAGCAACACACACCACGTCGGTTTACCCCCGAGCGTATTTTCGCACCTTGTCATTGGTTGAGTTTTTTTGGGAAATCCTATTATCACAGCTATATCTAGCGAAATCTATTTGTTTTAGTTTAATTTATCAAGCTTGCCAGCTTAACCAGATTTTCCGGAATTTTTTAAAAATAACTTATTAACTTAATTAACTTAAGCCCAAGCCGAAGCCTAAACCGAAGGCTAAGCCAGGGCTTAAGTTTAGCCTAGGCCGAGGCCGAAGCCTAATCCTATGCGTAATAAGGCTTCGACTAACAAGCATAAGCTAAGCCTAAGCTCAAGCCCAATAAGCCTAAGCCTAAGCCTAATTCTAAGGCTCAGTCCGAGCCTAACCCAAGCCAAGGCCCAACCTAAACCTAAGCCTGATCTTAAGCCTAACCTAAGCCTAAGCCCAAACATAAGCCTAATCCAAGCCTAAACCTACGTCTACGCCTAAGCCGGGACACAAGCTTCATCTATCCTCATTTTCTATCAAAAAAATTTTTCGTCCCTATCCTGTCCCCAACCCTTGCAACCGCTGCAAATGGCGACATGGCGGAAGCACGTATTGTTGGAAGCCGAGCAACCAATAGAAGGGGACCCTTATTTCGCGGTGGCTGAAAATGAAGATGGATTAGGGTCATTTATCCGCCCCCGGAGCCAGTAGCAGCCCACGGACAGAAGCCGCAATTTGGCATTCGCCATGCTCGTTGACGCCCGCCCGTCCGCTGCATTACATCCACCCGCAAACTGGAGAGTCCGGCTTGGCAAGCAAATCTTATCTGCTTCTGGCTGGCTACCGTACCACTTTGGGTTTAGCTAGAAATGGATATCATGAGTAAAGGTAAAGTGAAATACCTAGATTTTATCTAAATCGGCTCAAATACACCTGGTTAACTGGTTCCAATTGATTTACTTGATTTTGATATATCAGGAAAACGTAAAAATTATTATATAGCATTAAACATAAAATGTAATTTGTATTTTTAGCCACGTTATAACGTTACATTTATGGTTAATAATTACAGATTCAAATTTATGATTTACTTTTTTGTATGTTTTCAAGCTTGTAGGGCAGAATTTGGTTATTTTTTGCGTTTAATTAGATATATTCAATGCGGTACTAACAAGCTGTAATGTAAGCGCCAGAAACTTTGCACTTTCTAAAACCTAGGACCTTAAAACTTTAAAAGTTTTGAGATTTGAACTTTTAAGCTCGAAATTAAATGTAAATGTTTAAACGTTTAATGTAAATGTATAAATTAAATTAACCAATAAAGTCACCTTATTTAATTTAAATTTTCATTTTTGAATTTGAATTTTCGAGGGCTAGCTGTCGTCGGCAAGGTGGGCGAGTTGCCGGCCCCAATCAGCAACCCTCAAATGGGCCCTCTATTGTCGGGGGCCAGGGGGAGATGGAAATACATCCTGGTGAACGCCCTTTGTGCCCCTCTGTCTCTCTGCCCTGGCCACAATTAGCATAATTATGCAAGGGGGACCCTCGAAAAGAGAGGGGGCCCATGAAGCGGTGCCCCGGTTGACCGAGCTGCCTACCGACCTATACCCAGCCACTCGCTCCAAAAATAATTGCTTTACCAAAGTGGTGGCAAAGGAGAAGGGCCCATCCCCTCTCATTATGCGGTTCATCAGCTGGGCCCCTGACCCCCTAGGAGACATTCCGTATTGTTCGCCCGCTGACAAGTTGCAATTTGATTTTCTAACAAGGGAAGGTTGTTTGGGTCAGGTGTCAAATCTTTCTGAAAATTGGCCAGTGGATAGGAAATTGAAAACGGAACAAGGTGCGCTAAGTCGTTTTCTGCACAATACCCCCTAATTAAAAAGTTATAAGCTTCAGAGGCCTATAACTTTTTAATTTGGGGTATTGTGCAAAAAAATGAGATTAAGAAACTCCACTTTATTTTTGATTTTCTATCCACTGGCAAAGTTTCAAGTCGATTTGACACCTGACCCAAACAACCTTCCCTTGTAAGAGGACCCTGGGGACCAAAAATGTTGGATACTCGCTGCTCGCGATAGAGGAGCAGCGGGTTGTCTTCAAAAATTCGGCGCTGATTTGCGTTTTTTGATGCTTTCAATGTTGTTTCTCGCTTTCGGCGTTTTATTATAATTTTCTTTTCTTCGAACAAACTATTCCTC